TGGGACCAGATGGTCTAGAGCCTTGTACGCCACCATAAGAAAGTTTGACTTTCACTCTGAGTGAGGTAGAAGTCACTGCAAGATTTTGAGAGAGGAGTGACCTGCCCTGCCTTACTTTTTCAAAGGTCACTCTGGCTGCTGTGTCGCAAATAGAGTGTAGGTGGACAAAGACAGAAACAGGGTATCCAGATGAGAGATGATGGCGGCTGGGAGGGGCCAAGGTGGCAAGGATGGACGGTGTTGAGAAATGGTTGGGTTCTGGATCTATTTTGAAGGTAGACCTACAGGGTTTGGTAACAAAATGGATGTGTGGTGTGAGAAAAGGAATTCAAGGGCAAAACTAAGGTGTTGGCTAAGGAATGGAAGGATGGAGAGACTATCTACTGAAAAGACCAAGACTGCAAGAGGAGCCTATTTGGAAAGTGAGAGGGGTGGAGGACAGGAGTTTGGTTTAGAATATGAAGATGTTGAGTGGGCAGTTTGATGCTAAGTCAAGAGTTCTAGAGCAAGGTCGGCCAGAGACATAAATTGGGGAGTCGTCAGCGTGTGAATGGTATTTAAAGCCACAGGACCAGGATGAGATCACCGAGGGAGTGAGTGTAGACAGAGGAGAGAAGAGGACCAAGAGCTGAGTCCTGAGATGCTCCACCGTGTAGACGTTGGGGAGATGGGGCGCAAGCAGCACGAGACACGGATGAGGAGCACCCAGTGAGTTATGAGGAAGACGAGGAGGGTGTAGTGTCCCAGAAGCCAAGGGAAGAAACCCTTTGAAGGAACAGGGATTGATCCACTTGTTAAACGCTCCTGATAACTCAAGTAAGATGAAGCCTAAGAAGCTGGTTACGGGTTTAGCAACACAGAAGTTATTGGTGCCCTTAGCAGGGGCATAGTTAGTGGAGCAGTGGTGGAGAAAGCCGTGTGCAGTGGGCTCCATGGAGAACAGGAGGAATTGCAGAAAGTGAGTGCAGCCAACTTTTTAGAGAAGACTAGCAGTTAAAGGGAGAAAAAAATGGGCCAGAAGAGCAAGAAGGTTGAGAGAAGTTGTTGGTTTTTTTTTCTTTTAATGAAACAGAGTAGAAATTATAGCATGTTTGTATGTTAATGGGACTGCTCACTGCGGGGAGAAAAAAAAATGATGATGCAGACAAGGGAGCAGAGAACTGCTGGCTGGAACAGTGTCTTCAAGGAGACATGAAGGGATGGGATACCAAGCACTGGTGGAGGCATCTATCTTAGATGGAGGTGCAGACTGTTGGTGTATAGACATAGAAGAGTAATCAGAGGATGTGGGCACAGATGCAGGTAGGTGGCAAGACTGACCTTTCTAGTTTTTGCTATTCTGATGGGTAAAAGGTGGTATGTTGTTGCTGCCTGGGAAATATGATGACTGGGGCTAATACCCTAAATACCCCCTCTAAAAAATGCCTCTGGACTCCTTGTGCATCTTGAGTCTGGTTTTTCCCTGGGCATCTCTCTGTCTATCTCTTAAGTCTTTGTGCCACCTTTCCCCTGTCATCTCCCACCCACCCTGTCTATCTCTGTGTATTTATCCCTTTGTGTCTTTCTCAGTCTCCCCCTCCCTTCATGTTTGTATCGGGGCCTCTCCTTCAGGCCTGGGTGTGGAACCAACTTTCTAGTCCCAGCCAGCACTTCCAACCAGAACTTCCAGTTCCTGCTTAACAAAGAACCCCATTTTGAAGCCAAACTAGGGTGGGGTTTCCAGGAACCTCGGGCTGTCTCCATCTCCAGCTTTATTTATTTAACAAGCACATTTGTGGCCCTAGCTCCATGTTAGGCTCTTGTTGAAACACCTTCAAATATCAACTCATTTCACCCTCTTCTATGAGGTAGGTGCTATTGGTAGTGCTACTGTACAAATGTGGACACTGAGGCATGGAGTGTCCATGGCACTTGAACTCAGGCAGTCTAGCTCCAGAGTCTCTGCTCTAAACCACTAGGAACACTGCCTCTTTTTCTAGTCCTTCTTCCCCCAGCCCTGCTCTGAGGAGGGGGAAGACCCTGATCTATGAGACAGTACACCTGGACTTGGTCTACTTGGTGTGTGACTTTCAGCAGCTCACTGTCCTCCATGGGCTTCAATTGCCTTATTGATCAAGTGAGGGGGTTGAACGCACCCAACTCTCAGTGGGTCCATGACCTCACTTCATAGAGAGTGAGCCAAACAAAGTCCTGGCCAATCATAAGCTTGAATATCGGTGTTCACCTAGTACTCACCCTTCAGCAAATGCCAAAGCCAGCCACCCTCACTCCAGGTTCCAGCCCTTCCCAAGTGAAAATAGGCTTTTGTGGAAGTGTGGACCCAGGCCACAAGAGGGCACAGGTACCCTGACTTCCCACACAAGCCTGTCACCTCACTTAACCTAGCATCCTCCCTCTTGCCACCCAACCTGAACCCAACGCTACTGGAAAAGAGTGAACTCAGTGCCCACTCTGGGTCCAGACCTGTAGGTGGGGAATTTCACGGTGGGGAAGGAAAGTGGCTTTTCTGTCACCTTGAGAGGAGCTCATGGCTATGATCCAATCCACTCCCACCAAAATCCTACCCCAACACAGATGCTCAAGTTCACCCTTGTCCTCATTATCAACATCAACCCACAGCCCTAGCTCAATTGTATTTCAACACCTCCCCATCCAAGACCTCAGTCTTGGCCGCATCTCCAGCCCTAACCCAACAGGACTCCATCAGCAACCTTATCCCCAGATCCCTCCCATCTACAACCCAATCCTATCCCCCAAACTTACTCCATGTCCATTCTCCTCCCCAAACTAACTTACATTCTTAACACTGGTATCAGACCCATCCTAAACCTGACCACAAATGTTTCTTCTTAGTGTAGGGAAAAATTGTGAAAGACGTTGAGACAGACCCAAAAGATACCTTTGATAGAAAACTAGACAGGTTATCTGATTTTAAGGGAGGAGGGTCTCTTCTTTTACTGTCTTTGAGCTGCTTTACAACTCTGTGAATTATATATAGCTGATAGCAATGCAAACAATTCTTGTCCATAACTGTGCAAATGAGTTCAGTCAGCTGAAAGTAAAATTAATTTCCTGTCTACTTCCCGTGTAGAATAAGGCAGTTTTACATCTCTTTATAAACTCATTTCAGCATTCCTTATTGCCTATATCTGTGTGGTTCTTTGTAACATCTTGCTGCTAGTTCTGTCATTTATGAATGAATCAAAATCAAATCTTAGACATATGTCCATTTTATATATGTAGGAGACTCACGGTTAGATCCTTTTTAAAAAATTATCTTTTAACACTAGATTTGATCCCTATACCCAAATTTTAACTCCCCCCAGTATGGACCACACCAGTTTTGATGTGAACCTTCACTCTGTCTATTTCAACCCCTTATCCTTAGCATGACACCTCTGTTCTCTCTTTCCAAACATCATCTGGTCCCCATCCCTGGCTTTCTTCCAAATTCTGACCCCACCTCTCTTCTCCCTAATCCCTAATCCTGCCCCCTCCACCCCCTAGGATTAACTCACAGCCCCACCCAGTCACAGTTCCAGGTGACACCTACTCATTCCCAAAACACCTCTTCCTCCTTCCTCTTCCCCCTCGTCCCAGTCCCCTGAACTTTTCCTTCTCCACCTACATGCCCATGGACTCCCTCACCCCATCTGGCCCTGCTCCTAAAAGGACACTTATCCAAAATATTGCTTTCCCAGGCCCATCCCTGCTCCCAGCCTAGTCCAAGGAAAGTTGACTTTCAATCCACCAATCTGAAGTTCCCTTTCTGTGCTTGTTGGTTGGGGTGGGGAGTGGAGGGAAATGGTAGAATAAATTTGGGCGTCCCTGTGTTTTTCAGGAGGAAAAGGGTTGGAGGTGAGGCTGAGAGCTGGAATTTAAATGTGCTGCATTTGATGTTGAGAGATAAGTTTGAGATAAAAATGTCTATGGCATTGGTTTTGAGGGATAGGCTGGGGGTAGGGGGAATGGTTGACATTAGGCAGGGAGATGAGAATAGGATGGAAAATGGCCTTCCAGGGCTGATGTATGTTAAGAATATGCACGGGGTTGGAGCAGATATTGGAAAGCGGGATGGAAAATAGGTTTATGTTATTACAAGACAGGGTTATAGAGATTCAGGGTGGGTTGGAGGAAAGAAACGATGGGCTTTCCCCTACCCTCTAAGTGGGTCCTGCTGCCTAAAAGTTCACAGTGAGTTCAACTGGGGCTTGGGTGGGGCCAGATCTGGGTCCTAGCTGGTCCAGAAAGCTCCACCCCCAAGCGGAGGGCCAAGCCCTGGCTGGGGGGTGCCTGACGACAGCCAGCTGAGCCATTGGGGGTGGAGAGTGGTAGGCCAGCAACCGGGAAATGCTGAGAGCTCTGGGGGAGGGAGTTTAGGGGTTAAAAGCCATGGATCTGGGCTGAAGTTGGAGGCAGCTGGCTGCAGAAGGTCTTCATCCAGTCCCCTTACCCAGGTATGTCTGCCTGAGGCAGGGGCTAGAGCAGTGGAGGGGAGGAGGGGGGAGAGGAAGGGGAGGTGAGAAGGGAAAGAGGGAGCACAGCTGAGTCAGGGGGTTGGAAAGGGAAGCCAGAGGCCCAGTTATAGATAGAAATCTGCAGAGATAGACAGAGGTGCTGCATGAAGGAAGATCAGAAGCTCAGCTTGAGACCAGGTGTCTGAAACAACCCTGGGAGAGGTGAAAGCGGAGGGAGAGGGGAGACGGGCTGGCAAGTGCACCAACTATCCAGCTTGCTGGAGGGCAGTGGTGGAGGGGCTGGCCACCTGGCTTGAAGGGCAACAAGCCGGTGCTCTAGGGGAATGCACATCACCCCCCACCCTTTAATGCTCCCCAAGGATGAATTTGTGAAGGGGTGTAGATTCCTGGGTCAGAGTTCTCAGAGGGAAGGAGAGGAGAGTCATGACTGGGAAGTTCAGGAACTAAAGGTGGAGTGTGGTCAGAGATGGGGGGTTCTGGCCAGCTTTGAACACCCCACTTAACTTCTCAGGCCCCTCCCGCCCTGCCCCCCACCTGGAGCTGCCATGTGGCCCCTGGCTGCAGTGATCGCCTTCCAGACTGTGGCCTTGTCAGGCGGTAAGAATGCGAGGGGGTGGAGGTGGGGTGGCCACCCCAGACAATGGTAGGAGGGGTCAGGCCATGGGGAGGGGGTGTGGAAGCTGTGAGCTCTGCTCCTGCCCACTGGGAGGTGCCGGGTCCCATGGGGACAAGCCTGAGAGCTTCCTGCTTATCCCTGAGTGACCTGGTTTCTTGGCTGGGTTCAGGTCACTGTCCCCACCAGGCCCCTTCTCTGATGGTCCTACTCAACCCCGGAGAGCCCACCCCCAGTCCTTCAAATACCCCCACAGCAGCCCCTCCCACATTCGAGGCCTCCTGGCTTTTCTGAAAGTTAGAAGAGTCAGGCAGAGAGGAGATCAAATCCTGAGGGTGCCACTGTGAGCAAGTAAATTAGCTTCTTTGCATCTAGGTTGTTCCATCTGTAAAATGGGAACATACGTCTTTTCCACAAAAGGTTGTTGTGAATATTAAAATAAAGGAATGCCTCATGTGCTGAGTGTGAGGCAGTTAGCAGGGATGGAAAGTTAGTCCCTACTATTACTTTATTAGTAGTGGTTGTCTCTATCAATTCTCAGTCCCTTCCAGAACCTTCTAGTTCTTCCTTTAACCCTTGGTGTGACCCCAAACCTACCTGATTCCATCCAGAGCTGGTCCTCTCATCACATTTAAGCCCCCTCTCCCTGCCTTTGCAGGCAAGTTCTCTGGAAATCCCATTCAGGCATCACTCATTCATTCAGCAACAGCTTTGCGTGCCAGGCAGTATGCTGGGTGCTGTGCAAGCAGAGACACAGTTCTGTTTTCAACACCCACAGCCTAGCGGGGACGGCTGCAGACATTCAAACAATTACCCAAATAATTAGTTAATAATGAGTTACAACTGTGACATAAGGTGACAGCTTCAAGGGGCCAAGCCAGGAGCCTAGAAATGTAATGGCGGCTCCCTGCATGGAAGTCCCCCCCAAAGGCTAGACCCTTGAGCTGAGATCTGAAGGAGGGAGGGTCCGCAGGCACCTGGCACCCAGCACCACCCTTGGCCTGGAGGTAGGGTGGTTTCTCTCCTTTGGCAACACTCCCAGTGTCTCCAGCCCCTTCTGTGTGTCACGCCCTGGGCTAGGAGCTCCGCATGCATTGGCTTGTGGAATCCTCAACAGCCTTAAGAGGTACATGCACTATAATTACTCTAGTTTCACAGCTGAAAAACCCAAGACTGAAACAGGAGAGTCCTGCCCCCAAAACAGTGATGGTGCCTGAGTCAGGACCCTAATCCATGCCCTGCCGGCTCTGTCCCCAACATCCTGGACTTCACACTTTGGCAAACGATCTTCATTATTGTAGACCTAGTGGTCTGCTTAGAGTCCATTTTTTTAAATTAAATAATATTAAAAGTAAAGTTTATATCACTGTGCTAAATGGAAAACCACATCCTTTGCTATAAATAAAGGAGAGAAAAAAATAAATCCTGCACGGTGAAACAAAGACAATATGTTTATTGGGTTGGACTATCTGAAATTGCCAATGGTTAAGACCCTTTTTTGACCTCCTCCAAAACAGCAATTACTGATGGTTCAACTTAATAAATTTCAGGTTGCAGGCCGAGGGGTTCTGCTCTCCTTGGTTTTAAAAAGTGAGCTCAGAGAGGATTAGAGAAGCCTTAAAACCATATCTGCACCATCATGAGACTTTCTCCTTGATAAAATCAGGATTGGAAGAGAACTGGACAGTGACCGAGTTTCTGAGGGTGCGATTCAGTGTTACTTATACCTCATATCTCTGCCACCTGTAATGACCTTGTGCCCACAGCAACTCCTGTCCTCAACTGGGCTAATCCCACTGCTTATGTAGCTGGGAAAAGGACCTGCTGGCCACAGAGCTGGGGACCTCCTGTTGCAGTTAATAATTAATAATGAGAGTCCCCACTTACTGAGTGCTGTTAGTGTCTTCAATGTAGGATTTCACTGAATCCTACAACTGCCCCATGAGAGATGAAACTGTTCTTTACTTCCTTGATAACTGAGAAAACAGAGGCTGGCAATTTTTAATGGGATCACCCAGCCGGAAAGTGGCACATTCAGGATTCGACTTTCTCTGTGCTGTGCCTCCAATGCCAGGCACGGAGCCCAGCACACACAACATTCATTGATTGAGCACCTACTGTGTGTCAGACACTGGTTGGTCCTCGGGATGGGGTGCAGGACTGAATAAAGCAGTTAAGGTACCTGTTGTCAATGAAACTCACAGTCCAGATGAGGAGATTGTAACACAAAAACTAAACAAATACTCAATGAACAGTGATGACAGCTCTGAGAACCAACAAGGGGATGTAATAGAGAATGACTGAGGGGCTATGAGGACAATATTAGACCAGGGATCGGGGGTGGCCTCTCTGATGAGGTGACATTTGAGTGGAACTCTCAGAGTCAAGAGGGACCCAGGCATTTAACCTTTAGATTCTGAGTGCCAGTCAGTAGACTATTTTTTCTATCATCTATCTATCTATCTATCTATCTATCTATCTATCTATCTATCTATCTATCTATCTATCTATCTATAGTTTCATCCCATATCTTCACTGTCTGAGATGGTGGCCACTGGCCATTTGGGCTATTGAGCGTTTCAAATGTGACTGGTGTGACTGAAGAACTGAATTTTTAAATTTCATTTTAATTAATCTAAGTTTAATTTAGCCACGTGTGGCTACTGGCTGCCATGTAGAACGCATCAGGAAGAGGAAGCAGCAAGTGCAAGGCTGGAACAGAGCGAGTGAAGAGGAGAGAGGTGGGAAATGGGGCTGAAGAGGTTAGCAAAGGTGAGGTGATAGAGTCCTGCAAACTGACTTTGGGAGTGCTTAGCCTGTGGATGGTATTAAAGCCATGGAGGCTCCCAGGAAATATGTGTTGAAGGGATGAATGAATGGACGTTGCCTAGGTAGGTATGTAGGTTCTTCTCACTTCTACGTCCTGAAATCCATCCCCATGGCGGAAGAAGAGAGAAAATGCAGGTGGGGAGAAAGTCAGATTTCTGCTTATCAGAAGCATCCTCCCTCTATGAACTCTTCTTTCAATCCCCACCTGAGGGTATGACACTTCTGAGGAAAGGAAGTTGTCATCTCTTTGCCCAGATTCATCTCCACTACATAGAAAATGGCAATTCCTAGGGGCCACGAAATGAATCATCAGTTCCTGATCACCTAGAGCAAATTCTGACCCTCTCCTCAAGCCCAAGAACCACACCTCAAAGCCTCCTCCTCTCCCTGGACCCCACTTCTCTAATAATTTTTCTACTTCACTAGGCATCTCTCAGGAGTATCCCAAGATTCTCGTCACCAATCGGACCAATGGGGTTCTCCAAGGTGGCTACACCTGCCTCCCCCACTCTCAGCCCTGGCAGGTAGCCCTGCTAGTCCAAGGGCGGCTGCTCTGTGGGGGAGTCCTGGTCGACCCCAGATGGGTCCTCACTGCAGCACACTGTCTGAAGGAGTATGTGGGGGCCAGGGGATCATGGGGTCGGGATGAGAATGGGATTTGGGTGGTAGGTATGGAGTTGGATTTAAAGATGAGGTTGGAGCTAAGGTTGGGATAGAAGTGGGTAAGGATGAGGTTTGGGGGTGGACATAGGAGATTGGGGATGGGAATGGACTTGAAAGAGAGGATCTGGGTGGGACTGGATGAGGATGTGGCAGGAGATGTGTTTGGAGATAGGAAGGTGGGATGGAAAAGAGGCTGGGGATGGAAATGGGCTCTTCCTCTCCTCTAACCCTTCCCTTCCTGCGCCCACAGTGGATACAGAGTTTACCTGGGCAAGCATGCCCTGGGGCGTGTGGAGGCCGGAGAGCAGGTGAGGGAGGTACTCCGCTCTGTCCCCCACCCTCAGTACCAGAGCAGCCCCACTCACCTGAACCATGACCACGACATCATGCTACTGGAGCTCCAGTCCCCAGTCCACTTCACAAGCCGTATCCGTGCCCCACTCCTCTCCCACGAAGACTGCCTCCCCGCTGGTACCTGCTGTCGGGTGTCTGGCTGGGGCACCACCACCAGCCCCCAGGGTATGCACCCACGCAGGTGACCTGAGGTCTCAATGTCTGGGGAAACTGGGCAGAGATGGGGGAGTAGGTTGGCGGATTCCTTTATATGTAAAAATAAATATATATAGTTATATATTATATGATATATTACATATAATATATAAAATTGTGTGTATCTTTTATATAAATATAAATTTATAAAAATATAAAGATATCCTGTTAGATACGAGGTCTGACAATTAAGTTCGTGAACTTGTTGCAATGATGTTGCTAACCTTTTTTGATATCAGAGGGATTATTCATTATGAATTTGTACCAACTGGACAAACAGTTAACCAAGTTTACTATTGGGAAGTGCTGAAAAAGCTGAATAAAAAAGCTAGACGACCTGAACTCTCGCCAACAATTCATGGCTCTTGCATCACGACAATGCAACAGCTCACACAGCACCGCCTGTGAGGGAATATTTTAGCCAGTAAACAAGTAACTATTGGAACACCCTCCCTACTCACTTGATCTGGCCCCCAATGACTTCTTTCTTTACCCAAAGTTAAAGGAAATATTGAAAGGAAGACATTTTTATGACATTCAGGACATCAAAGGTAATACGACAACGACAGCTCTGATGGCCATTCCAGAAAAAGAGGTCCAAAATTGCTTTGAAGGGTGGACTAGGCGCTGGCATCGGTGCATAGCTTCCCAAGGGGAGTGCTTCGAAGGTGACCGTAGTGATATTCAGCAATGAGGTATGTAGCGCTTTTTCTAGGATGAGTTTGCGGACTTAATAGTGTGACCTCGTATATTCTTTATATAAATTTATATTTATGTATTTTATATAATATGTTTTAGATCATATATATCCTTTATATAAATTTATAAATATATGGTATATACTATGTATTATATGTGCATATTTATGAAAATATGTCACTATACATCTGTATGTAAAAATGCAAATTATAAAAATTAGATTTGTTTTCCAAATTATATTTTATGTATTTATTTAAATATATATTTATTAAATTATATACTTATTGGATATATATTTAAATAAGTACATAAAATATAATTTGGAAAATAAATGATATATTGATAGATTTAGTAATATTAGGTATATTGATCTATTTAGTAACTATAATAAAATATATCTTTTGTGTATAAATTTTATATGTGTGAATATAAAGTTGACCTCTAGCAAAAGCCCTTTGCATTGACTTTGTAGTTCTTAGCTCTCATAGTCTCATTTCCATATCTTTCTGCCCAATATGTTTCATCTCTCTGCCCAATATGTTTCATCTCTCTTTCCATCGCTTTCCTACTCTCCTACATCTCTGCATCTCCTTATGTTTTCCCCATCTCCAATTCTCTCTCACCATCGCTGTCTTCCTATTTCTCCAAACTTCCTTTCTTTTCCCATCACTCTTCTCTCCTCATTGACCGCCCCATCTGGATTTCTTCCCTGCCAGTTCCCTGCCCCATCCCTCTCCACCTTTCCCTCCACCCTTATCTCTACTTCCACTTCTCATCCCCTTTCTCTCCACATTTCGGTCTCTTCCATCACTTTCCCCAGATCCATAGCCAATCTCTTCCCGCATTTTCCTCTTCCCATCTCTATTTTCTACCAACTCTCCTATTTAACTGCCACTCCATAGCCTGCCTAAGACAGATATCCTTAGACTTTCCTCTCTCTCCTCCCCAGTGAGTTACCCACAAACCTTACAGTGTACCAACATCCAGCTACGCTCAGATGAGGAGTGTCGTCAAGACTACCCGGGGAAAATCACACCCAACATGCTGTGTGCCGGCACAAAAGAGGGCGGCAAGGATTCCTGTGAGGTGAGGGCGTGGGGTTGGAGGCTGCTATGGGCCAGGAAGGGAAGCCAGAGTGGAGGCACAGACAGATGCTGGAGGGAAAGGATTTGCTTCTAGCCTTGGGGGAACCAGTCTTTGTAAGGTGAGAGATCCCCTAGCGGAGAGGGTCAAGACAAAAGGGAGTACCCATGGATGGCAAATATAATTCATCTTAATTTGATCCAGCTTTGACTGACAGTGGCTGCACAGATCCTTGTGTTGACATACATAAGGTTAGGATTCTTTTGCAAGTGACAAAAAAAACCAGCGTAAACTGCCTCAAGCAAAACACTGACTTTTGTAACTGAAAAGTCCAGGGGTTCCTGCTTCAGGCACAGATGGACCCAGGGACTCCCAGAATGTGGTCAGGACTCTGTCTCCCTTTAACTCTCAGCTCTTCTCTGTTTTGGCTTCATTTTCAATTAAGCTTCTCCCATGTAATAGCAAGATGGCCTCAGCAGCTTTGGGCTTGCATCCCGCCCTCTAAGCAACCCTATTGGAAAGAGAGCACCTCTCTTTTCCAAAAGTTTACATAATCATCTTGAGCATGATTTCCACTAGGCTGACTTAAGTCATGTGTCTTAGAACCATCACTCTGGCCAGAGCTGTGGGGTTCTCTGCTGGACCAAATCTGAGTCACGTGACTAACTGTCGGGGTTGGAAGGGGCAGGGACGAACTGCACGAATTGAGATCGGGAGGGGGTCATTCCCCAAATGAAAAAATCAGGAGGCTATTACCAAAATAATGGACAATGGATACCACATGGGCAAAATAACAACCTATGTCCAATAGAGACGACTTCTTAGATTGAGTTTTGGTTCAGTGGGAAAGTGTATGATAATGGATTAATGAATGATGTGTGCCTTATCAATTAGTAATGCTTGCCCTGGGCCCAGGGGGTGAAGTGGAAGTACACATGTGGACATACTCTACCCAGATGTGGATGGGTTAAGGTGGCATGAAGGAACCATGAAGCAGTAGCAGGTTTGGGGGCAGGGAACAAGGTGGGGTTTGGCATAGGGAACTAAGAGTGGGTGTATGAGGTAGGCTGTCACCACTTGAATAAGACTGAGGAACAGAAAAGCAGAGGGAGACACAGAAGTCTCTCTCTTGTCTGTCTCCGTGTCTACGTCCTGCTTTTCTGCCTCTCACTCTCTATCCCACTGTGTTTGTCTTATCTGTTTCTCACCGTGTTGCTGTCTCACCATCTCTCCATAGTCCTCCGTCTCTCTTTATCTCTGCCTCCATGTGGGTCTGTCTCCATCTTTCAGAGGGACATAGAACGTTGTCATGGTAGAAGATTGTGGGTACAAGAGAATATTTTCAGAATGAAATGTCACGGGATTCTAGAACTCCACTTGTCTAGAATTCCACTCTCTCCCCACAAGTCCCCATCTCTGCCTTTGTTTAGCCCTAGAAAAGACCCCACCTCTCTCTCCCCCCAACTCAGGGCGACTCCGGGGGCCCCTTGATCTGCAACGGAACACTCCATGGCATCGTCTCCTGGGGAGACTTCCCGTGCGGGCAGCCCAACCGGCCTGGTGTCTACACCCGAGTCTCTCAATATGTTTCATGGATTCAAGAAACAATCCGAAAACAGAAAACCCAGGAGCAGAAATGGACGAAGAGCCCACCATAAAATCGGGTTGACTTTCCCACCTCCTTCCTTCCAATGTGCCCACCTTACTCGGTCTGCCCAGCCCTTCTCTGCCCCTCCCAGAGTGTTCCACTTGAATCAGTGATTCATGTCCTCAAAATGTGCCAGCCCAGCTGACACTCCATGTTTCAAAAGCACTCAGTCACTGCCAGCATCCCTGAAACATCCCAGTCCCGTGAATGTCCCAACTCTTTGAACATAAACCCACATCACCATCTAAATGTTTTCTCTGTAGGACACTTAAATACCTCTAGCCCAATCCTGTGAACGGACCATCCTTGACAACGTCCTGTACCCCTTCAGATATTTATTCATTGCCAACATTCTTGATCCTTCTATGTTTTATACTCAGGAAGGTTCTAGACTCCCATGACATTTCATTCTGGAAATATTCTCTCATGCCCACAATCTTCTGCCATGACAACATTCTATGCCCCTCTGAATGACGGACTCGTCACAGCTAATATTGGATTCCCATAGTGGTTCGTGCTCACGCAGCTCCTGGCCTCCCAAATGTCCCATCCTTACCTCCAGCCCACATTTTGTCAATGTCCGACCTCTGCCAATATCCCCAGGCTTTGAATCCCCGTGTCCACGAAAGATTGGCAGCACTCTAGAGTCTGGAGTGATGGGGTTCAGTACCCCACGGGAGTCCCCATGCCTAGACCCTATTGTCCACCAATATCCTGTCCTAGCTCCTCCGTGAACACCCATCTTTAGTGCTCCTTGCTATTTGATGTCGTTACATTTTTGCTCATGACCCCAGGATGCAGTGGTCAAACACTCAAGCCCTGATTTGAACATGTCGTCCAAGTCACCACCTCTCTTTTCTCATCTGTAAAACAGGGCTCATCATTTTCCCTCAGCATTGTTCGGATACATATCAAGCGCTTGCCACTATTATTTGCATGGTTCCCTATAAAATACTACCTTAGGATGTCAATAACAACCCGTTGGCTGTGACCAAATGGTATTGCATTCATTTATTTTTCTTGGCAAACGTTTATTCAGTGCTGACGTAAGCAGGCACTCTCCTGGGTGTGGGTTCATACAATTTTGTTTATTCAACAAATATTGGTACCAATCATGAGCCAGACACTACTGTAGACACCGATGATAAACAGCGAATTAAACAAACAAAAACTTCTGCCCTTGTCGAGCTTACTTTTTTTTGTTGTTGCAGGAAGGCACCATAAAAAAAGATGAATAAAGAAATAGACTGTCAGGTGGTGGGAAAAGCAGCAGGGCGGAGAGACAGAGAATGTTGGTGTGGGGGAGTTGCTATTTTAAATAGGATGGTGCAGAAAGAAGACACGTTGGCACACAAAACAATACACAATCTGTTATAACATATACTAATTAAAAAGTCTACAACAGGGCCGGCCGAGTGGCGCGATGGTTAAGAACTGGCTTGGGACGCCAGAGGGCTCCGGTTCGGATCTCACATATGAGGGCCAGTGATACTGCCCTCTACAGCTAAGATGCTGAACAACAGCTCAACCTGGAGCTGGGCTGCCGTGAGTCACCGGTGACCTGCAGTGGGTTGCCATGGGCTACCATGTGTAGCCAGCAGCTAGCGTGAGCGGCCAGCAGCCGCAGTGAGCGGCCATCCAGAAGCCGGCGACTGATCTGCCTCGCCCGGGAAGAGCGCAATGATGGTGCCAACTTGGGCCAGTGAAGCAACGTCCTCCACAACTAGATTGAAGAACAAAAGGACAGCAACTTGTCTGTTCCCCTTCCCTCAATTCCCCAGCACTGTTCCCATCCCCCAATTCCCCAATAAAAATCTTTAAAAAAAAAAAAAAAAGGTCTACAACATTGCGAATGTACTAAATGCCACGGAACTGTTCACCTTAAATGGTTACTTTTATGATATGGGAATATCACCTTAATTTTTTTTTAAAGCTATGTGATAATAAATACAATAGCGAAAGACAAACAATAACAAAGATAATAGCAAAGGATACACAATAATAAAAACAGCAAAGATATGCAGTAGTAAAAACAAGAGCAAAGGATGCGTGATAACAAAAAGAATGGCAAAAGATACACAATGACAAAAACAATAGCTGACGGGAATGGGGATAAAGGGAAACAAAATAAGGAAAACAACAGGGGCCTTGCACAGATGGCTGATTCAACATGCTCCATCCGAGGATTAAGAACTAGCTAAACATATTAATAAACTCAAAACAAAACAAAACAAAAAGCACCTGCTTCAGAGGATTAGTAGCGTTAATAGGTAAGAAGCACTGGGAAGAACACCTGGTCCTGAGTGCTTACTAAGTGGCAGCTGTCATTAGGATTGTTGCTTTTATTGACATAATTATTATGATGCCGTGTCTCCAAGGCCCCAGTGCCAGAGCAAGCTGCCTTGGGTGACAGCTCGGGATTTGGAAGAGTGAGAGGTGACTGCCCAAATCTTTCCTATGGAACAGGAAATAATGGCATACCTGAGCTGGAGACTGTGACTATCCTCACCTTAACGCCGGAAGGCCAGCCAGGTGGTCAGGCTTTGAGGCTTCGCTGCCGTCCCTCCTCTCATCCTCTCCCGGGATTTCAAAGTCAAGTGATCTCCTCTTCCTATTTTTGTCCAGGGGGATGTTAGGAACAATGGGGACCTGGGCAGGGAGGAATTTGGAAAGCTGGTAGAGGGAGGGGATGGAAAAGACTAGGAGAGAGATTGAAAAGCAAGGAGGGAGGGGTGTCAACCAGATGACAATGCTTCCTGACAAGGTTCCAGCATATAAAGCCCTTTTCATTCTCCCAAGCTCCCTGCTGGGGAAATGTCAGCTCCCCGTTTCACAGAAGTATCAACCTAGACTAAGGAAAATTCAACAGTGAGTTGAACCCATCCGATGGAGAAGCATTCCTGTCCCCCACGACCATTCCCAGGGACTTCTCCCTTCTAGCCTGGAGGGCCCAGGCCAAGCTCAGCCACTGCCCCAACTGTGGACCTTGTATAAGGGACTAGGCCAGACTTTCCAGGCCAACGGGGGGGGGGGGGGGGGTAATTGGGTTCCGCACCCAATTCCAACGTGTGGGGTCAGGGTGGGGGTTTCCCCAGACCAAGCGATTCTCGGACACGGGCTGGGTGTCCTATGATTGAAACTGAATTCTGAAACTATTTGTCTGGTGATAGTCAGATCCTACAGGTTAAGAGCTCAGTTCCACAAGACTGACGCCCCGCCCCCACCCCACTTCAGGTGCTCCTGACCACCAGCTATAGATCGGAGGTTCCGGTAACCCTCTCTCCTTGAGTTTGATTCATTTGCTGGAGCAGCTCACAGAACTTAGAGAAACATTTTACTTAATAGATCACCAGTTTATTATAAACTCAGCAACAGCCAGATCAAAGAGATGCACAGGACAAGGTATGTGAGAAGGGACTTGGAGCTTCCATGCCCTCTCCAGGTGCCAGTCTCCCCAAATCTCCAAGTGTTCACCGACCCAAAAGCTCTCCAAATCCCGTCCTTTTGAGTTTTTATGGAGGTTTCATTGCATAGGCATGATTGATTAAATCATTGGGCACTGCCGACTAATTTAACCTCCAGGGGTTCAGGGTAGGACTAAACGTTCCAACCTTCTAATCGCATGGTGAGGTGGCTTTCCAAAAGCCACCTCAGTAACATAACAAGACACCTTTATCATTACCTTCACTTAGGAAATACTAAGGGCTTTAGGGGCTCTGTGCCCAAATGGGGGATGAAGACCAAATATATCTTTCTGATTATAAATCACAATATCACAGGGGTCAATGGATTTTTAAGCCCAAGCTTCTCTTCTAACAGGTTCAATGATAAGATGAGGGAAGCAGACTGGTTGTGGGAGGGTTGAGAAGGCAAGAGACCCAGGTCAGGCTTTTTGGAGGAAACAAGACAGACGCCCAGAGCCCAGGAGCTCGGGAGACAGGTTTCAGAGATAGGGAGCAGGTAGTGGTTGAGGAAGTCTTAGGAGCTGATGGGACATCTCAGAAGAAAGGAAAATGGGTCCTAGATGGGATTGGTCTCCCAAAAGCCTGGATAACAGGACTGGGTGGATGATGGGGCCACCACACAGATGGAGAGTGAGGTCTGAAAACATGTCGATGGGGACAGATGGTAAGCTTGGTTTGGGTCCTTCAGGAGGCTGTTGGACACACAGTTCTAAAGCTGGGGAGAGGCCTGAGAACCAACCTGTCCCAGGTAACATGTGACAGATGAATCTCAGGTGTACACAGTGCATAAGACACAGCTTAGGACCGGGGCCTGGGAACGCCCTTGTTTGTACAGACACCTGTGGAAGAAAAAAAGGCCTATTCATGAAGGAGGCCAAGAAGAAGAGCCAGCAAAGTAGGAGGAAAACCAGAAATGCATGGCGTCCGGAAGCCGGGAGTGGAGCAGCCGGCGTGTGAAACGCTGCGGAAAGGTTGAGTAAGAAAAGGACAGATGGGGACCATGGGATTGCTCAACATGGAAGTCTCTGGAAAACCCAAAAGAGCGTGTCTGCAGGGTGCAAGCAGTGAGTAGATCTCCATGGAGAAGTTTTGCTGGGAAGGATGATGGAAAAATGGGGCTATGGGGCTGTGGGTCTGCTACTGATGAACTCTGTGGTCTCAGCATCACCCAGCAGAGTGTCAGGCACACAAGGCATCTCAAAGTGTTTGTGGAGTGAGTGAATAAATGAGTGAGTGAATGAATGAATGAATGAGCAGAAGAGAATGAGAGAGATAGCCGGAAGAGAAAGAAGTTGCAGCACCAAGTTGTAGCTGCTATTTCTTCACATCTGAGGAAAAAAGAAAAGATTCTGTTATCTAAGTCAGATTGGAAAATGTTTTTCTAAGGAAATAAACTGATAAGGGTGATTTTGAGAGTGTCTACACTTGACCTACCTGCTATCCCCACCCATCTTTGTTGCCATGTTTGATGATCCCAAGAGGAAGATGTGTGTAGATATTTAGCTTACTCCCACCCCACTTTTCAGATGGACAAACTGAGGTTAGGACAAGAAAGTGGCTCAATGGCTCCCAGTGAGTCATGGGAGGAACTGAGGGTTCAACCCAGCCTGGGTGATTTCGAAAGATATCCTCTTTCTTTTAAACCTGTAGCATTCCTATGTTCATCTATTTCAGTTAGTCATTCGTTTGTTCATTCATATATTTGGATGATGATTAACGCATAATACAGGCTCTGGAGACGGTCTGCCTGGGTTCAAACTCTGGCTCTGGCACTTACCAGCTGTGTGTGTGTAACTCTGGGTAAGTGACTTCATTTAGTGGTGCCTCCGTTTCCACATCTGTGCTCAAGCATTGGGGTGACTGAGTTCTCTCGAAGCAAGAGGCTTTCATACTGAGCTTATGATGACGCCTAAGAGGAAGCCAGAGGCATGGGAACTTGAGAGCACTGGGGTCTCTCTGGGGAAGGCAACTTCAGAGCTTTTTTTAAAAGCAGAAGGTGGGCGACTGCAAGCCAGTCCCTGCCGTCTGAGCCTCCAGCGACAAAGAGAAGGGATTGGCTTTCGCCAGAAGCCACAAGGTGCAAATCTGTGCATCAAAGAGAACCACTCAGCCAGTCAGTCCCCAATACCCACTCCCCCCCAGCCCCAGCAGGTCCACTAATCTGCATCCTGTCTCTGCATTTCATTTGCCTACTCTGGACATTTCATATAAATGCAATCCTACAATACATACGCTTGTATCTGGCTTCTTTCACTCAGCATCATGTTTTCAAGGTCCATCCGCATTGCAGTGTGTATCAGTGCTTCATCCTGTTTGATTTATCCATTCACTGGTTGATGGACATCTGTTTAATGGTATGGGATCTCTCGGGGGGTGATGAAAATGCTCTGGAATTAGATTGTGGTGATGGTTGCACAGCACTAAATGAATGCAGTGAAATTCACTGAATTGTAGGTTTTAAAATGGTTCAAATGCTGAATTTTAAGTTATGTGAATTTTACTTCAAAAAAAGATAAAGGCAGAGAGAGAGTGAAGGGGAGGAGAGAGAGAAAGATTGGTGTTGGATCCATAGTTGTGCGTTTTGTTCTTTGTTTTTTGGGGTTTTTTTGGGGGGGTGGTTGTTGGCCAATATTTAAAATCAGGAATGTCCCAACATAAATCTGAATTGTCAGCATTTCTTGAAAAGTCAGAGGATTTGGGAATGTTGGGCCCACGTTCTAGCTCCCCACAGAAGCTGAAGTGTGCATTTTATTACATGTAAATTGCATCTCAATCAACCAGGTCCCTCTCGCCCCCCATTCACAAAAAGTCTCTCTCTCTCTCTCTCTCTCTCTCTCTCTCTCTCTCTCTCTCTTTCTCGCATCCCCTCCCCCCCTTCTCAGTGGAAACCCTATGCAAGGAAAAACTTTCATGGAATTAGATAAATTGACCACACTTATATAAGGAGACTTGTGCTTCTTGAAGAAGGGAACAGAATTGACTGTGCATTTAGGAAATTCAGTTAGTTTGTGCAGTGATCCCCCCTGATTAGCTTAGTACCCACCTGGCCCTATACATAGTCATTGCAACATTACTGACTATATTCTCTATGTTGTACTTTACATCCCTGTGACTATTTTCTAACTATCAATTTATACTTCTTAATCCCGTCACCTTTTTCACCCAGCTCCCCAACCCCCCTCCCCTCTGACACTCATCAATTTGTTCTCTGTATCTATGGGTCTGTTTCTGTTCTGTTTGTTCACTTATTTTGTTCTTTAGATTCCACATAGAAGTAAGTTTGTATGGTATTTGACTTTCTCAGTCTGACTTATTTCACATAGCGTAATATTCTCTAGGTCCATTTAACTGCTCTTTGGAGAATCATTGTAAAATAATGTTCTTTGAATCTCTGTAAAGACCTAGCTCAAATAAAAGATCGAGATTTAGAGAAACAAAAACAATAATAATAAATGAGTGAATCCGATGTCCATGGAACCCAGTTTGGAAACCCTTTCTGTCTCTTCCTGTCACCTCTTTGGAAATCTCTTCCTTCTCCTCCTCTTCTCTTTCTCAGGCTTTCTCTGCCCTTGGTTTTCCTGCTTCTCACTTCCACCCTCCTGCCCTCTTAGCCTCTCCACCCTCCTGCATGGTGAGGTGTCTAGGCACCCCACCCTCCCTGAGCCTTCATCACTGGAGCTGGGATTAGAACCCAGCTCCCAGATCAGCTTGAGTCATCAGCCAGGGGGCTGCTGGCTGGTTTGGAGAGGGGGGGAGAAGGAGTGGGGCCGGGTCTTCCCCCCGGAACCATCCTGGGCCCCTTACTCACTCCCCTTCCATTTAGGTGAGCTTAATTAAGTGTCATTAGCCAAGAAGAGTTTGTACGAGATTAGAGGGTGCCCCACCCCGTGTCTTCCTTGTCCCCTTCCCTCAACCAGGAAATTGAATGGGCTGGGACAAAGAGAGTTAAAGGCTGTGTCAGCTGCTCGTCTGGGACTGACAGACAGAAGGAAGGGGACGGGTGATGCAGCATGACAGGTGGGTGAGAATCCAGCCAGGTAGACAGTGGGAGCATTGACTGGCAGATGACAAGACAGGCAGGTAGGTATTTAGACAGCTAACAGAGACACAGAAAGGCTGAATGTGCAACGGCCACATGGAGGACCCAGCAGGCAGAGACACAAGGTGAGAAGGGAGCAGAGAGTCACCGGTGAGGGGGTGACAGCAGGAGACTGGCTGAGGGAAGGAAGGGAGGACCATCCCCTTCTTGTGGAGTTGATGGTGGGATGGATGGGGAAGGAGAGGCAGGTTGACCAGGGAAGGCCGTCTCTGAGATGCCCCCACATTTCCCCCCAGAACCTGGAGGTGGCCCACCACGGGGTCCAGCATCTTCTTGCTCCTGTGTGTTATTGGTGAGTTCCCCAGGAGGAAGGAGAGTCCCTGCCTCCTCCATGTGGGGACTCCATCTCCCCATCTGGGCCGCAGCATGGCATTGAGGAGGGGAGGGAGGCTGACTCTGTACCTTTATTTACCTCCAGTTCCCGGGTCCTGCGCACCTGTCTCCCTATATCCTTAGATTCATCCCCCCTCTGTCTCTCCCGGTCACATTGTCTCTGTTCTCTCTCTCTCTCTTCCCCTCCTCCCCCAATCTCTGCCTCTGTATCTTTAAGCATCACTCTTTCTGTTTCCCTCTCTCTATTCCTCTCTGTATATCTTGGGTGTCTCACTATGTCTTTTTCTATACATCACTAGGTCTGTCTCCCTGCCTCTGTCTCAGGGTCTTTGTCTTTCTCTTGCCTTTTTCTCTCTGTGTCTCTCCATCTCTGTATCTCTCTTCCTATCTCTAGTCCACAATCTCTAAGTCTCTGACCCCATCTCTCTGGCCTATACTCCTGTCCTCAGGGCTCAGCCATGCATCCAAAGAGAAGATTTATAACGGGACGGACTGTGTTCCTCACTCACAGCCTTGGCAGGTGGGGCTGTTTGAGGGTGCCAACCTGCGCTGTGGGGGGGTCCTCATTGATCGTAGATGGGTCCTCACAGCTGCTCACTGCAGCGGCAGGTAAGCCTCCTCTCTGGGTCCTTTCTTGGAGTGGGCAAACGAAGGTAGTGGGGAGGACAGTGCTAGAGGTAGGGGCTCACGGGAAGGGATGTCAAGGAGTAAGGAGATGGTGCTGCCACAAAAAAAGTGTGAGGTTAGACAAGGAGTAGGACTTCATCAGCAATGGGCCTAGGCTGGGGCTGGGTGGGGTGAGTGGGGTAGAGGGCAGGGGAGGGTCCTGGACCCTGCCCACCAACCCCCTCCCATTCCCTCCTGCGCCACTTCCTTCCTATTAATATATGGTATCTGACACCAGCCCAGCCATTCCCTGACCCAGGCTGGGCCCTGGGGTCATGTATGACACAAACTCTTTGTGCCACCTCAGTGGTTCCATCTGTAAAAGAAAGGATTGGGCTTTCTCGGCCTGACACTCTGGATTTTAGGGGAAAGGGAAGTTTCAGACACAAAGACATGAAGAGATTCGAGGACGGGGAAGACAGACACAACAAGCAGGACAGGGAGCATTCATTTAGTCGACAGTGTTGACAGCCCAGGCAGTCTCGTAGGTGGTGGAAACAGAGGAATGAACAAGGCTGACAGATGTCCCTGCCCCTGTGGGCCTCACCAGCTAAAAATGACACAGATGCAGTGGCATGGGGAGGAGAACGGGGGCAATGGAGAGAGAGACCCAGAGACTGAAAGAGAGAGACTTGAGAGAGAGAGAGAGAGAGAGAGAGAGAGAGAGAGAGAGCAAATGCATGAGGAAGCGAGAGGACAGACATGAGGTGCAGAGCTGCAGAGAGAGGCAGGAGGGCCTGGGAGCCAGGGGACAGCCCACCCACCACCCGCTGAGCCACTGCAACCCCCAGCAGGTACTGGGTGCGCCTGGGAGAACACAGCCTCAGCCAGCTGGACTGGACGGAACAGATCCGGCGCAGCGGATTCTCCATGACCCACCCCGACTACCAGGGAGCCCTGAAGAGCCATGACCATGACCTGAGACTTCTGCGACTGGGCACCCCAGTCCTCCTGACCCGCAGCGTGCAGCCCTTGGCCCTGCCCACTACCTGTGCAGCGGCTGGCACTGAGTGTCACATCTCGGGCTGGGGCACCACCAACCGACCGCCGAGTAAGGGGGCCCCAGGATCAGGGGTCAGGATGGGCAAAAGTTTGGGGTGTAGGATGAGAGGTCAGGAGTCACATCATCTCAGAGGGAGGATGGGTAAAGGGCCAAACATCAGAATTGTGGCTTGGGGTCAGAGATCCAGGTAGATTAGGTCTTGAGTGTCAGAGTGATTAGGGATTGAGGATGGAGTCAGAAGTCATAGTCAGGGAAGTGATTAGAGGTCACAGTACAGTCAGGGGTCATCAGACTGGAGCAAAAGGCATACATAAAGAGGATTATGAGGTCATGGGTCATGGACTCTGAAGGTCAAGGTCATTAAAGAGTTGAGGTCGGGCCAACCGAGTGGTTCAGTTGGTTAAGAGCTCACTCAAGAGTTTGAGCTCTGAGCAACAGGGTCCCTAGTTTGATTCACAGCCTGAGCTGAGCTGCTGCTGAGCTGCCAACCGGTGGCAGGATGGCTCAGCTAAAAAAAAAAAAAAAAAAGAGTTGAGGTCATGGGATCCAGATGGTACAGAAGCTGGCCACAATCTAAGAATGGAAATTGGGGATCACTGGTCTGTGATTGGAAGTCATAGCATTTGGGATGTGGAGCTGGAGGTTGGAGGTCATGGAGTCAGGGGTCAAATAAACCAGGATCAGGGGTCATTTTGGAGTTGGAAATCAATGAGTTAGAGGATGCAGAACTGAAGTTGGAGCTTAAGGTGAAGGAAGACAAGGAACATGGGGTCAGGAGACAGAAGGTCAAATTGAGATCAACGGATGATAAGATTGAAGGTCAAAGGTCACAGTAGCTGAATTGAAGAAGGTCAGATCTGGATTTACTGTATCTGAGGTTGGAGGGTCTAGAGTATGACACTCAAAGTCATAAGTTAAAGGTCAGGGGGACTGGGTCCATAGACTGGGGTCAAGTGTCACTATGAAATTGAGCCATAAATCTTAAATTTAGAGGTTTGAGGATTACAGTGGAGGTCACAGGGAGGAGGTGGGGCATAGGCTTGGATTGAGTTTCCTTGAAAGGAGGGGTGTGGTTCCAGAGTGGGGAGTTTGGGGGGGACCTTGCAGCATCCATCTTCCACCCCTAGATCCATTCCCAGACCGGCTCCAGTGCCTCAACATCTCCATAGTCTCCAGTGCCACCTGCCAAGCTGTGTTCCCTGGGAGAATCACAGACAACATGGTGTGTGCAGGTGGCATCGCTGGGGAGGATGCCTGCCAGGTGAGTGCAGGAAGTACATAGTCACCCAGGACAGGAAGCAGAGGACAGAGAAGGGGGGAAAGGGGGGAGGGTAAGTCAGAGGAGGGGGACAGGGGAGAAAGATGAGGTCAGGAGGAAGGGAAGGCACAAAATAAGGCAGGGAGACAGAATAGGGGGGAGAGGCAGGGAATGGAGGACAGAGAGAGGGAGAGGGAGAAGAGACAGAGAAAATGGGGGAAGGCAAAGAACCAGACGGCATTTGGAACTCAGGCAGGTAAACTGCTGCCTCTCCAGTTCTGAGTCTTCCCCATACCATCCTCCAATTGATGCCGACCTGGGTGAGAGGGGGAGATTCCAGGTTGGATGCAGGAAAGGGGGATGGAGGGCTCTTTCAGCCTCAAATTCTGCTACCTTGACCTCTCACTTGGGTCCTCCAGAGAGGAGGCTGCCCCACCCTACTGGCCAGGGCTCCAGCCATCATCCTTCAGGGAATGCTTATGGAGTCCCTCCCCTCTTTGCTGGGATTGGTTATTGGTGTCCGTGTTCTCTTCCCTCATTGGTCAGGGCCCCAGCCATTGTCCTTTAGGGAAGGAACCCTGTCTCTTTGATGACTAGGCTTGGAGCCACTGTCGTCAAGGCCCAGGATGGGTTGGGGAGAGGAAAACTGGAACAGGATTTCTGCCATATTCAGGCTGTGCTCCTTCCCCTTCTTCCTTCCAGGGTGACTCTGGGGGCCCCCTGGTGTGCGGAGGAGTCCTTCAGGGCCTGGTGTCCTGGGGGTCTGTGGGACCTTGTGGACAAAAAGACATCCCAGGAGTCTACACCAAAATTTGCAAATATGTGGACTGGATCCGGAGGGTCATGAAGAACAACTGACCTGCTCCTTCTACCTCAGCTTGGGGGCCACTCTGACCCTCAGGGCTCCAATATCTCCTCCATCATTATCCCCAGTTCTCATACTCTTGGTCTGGGGATCTTCCCAGAACTCCAACCCTTACAAGCCAGCCCTTGTGAGACCCATGGTTCGAGGAAGAGGAAGTGTGTGATTATTTGGAATAAATGTGTTATAACTTGAGGAGGAGAAGTGTCTGTCTATTTGGTATCCCCGAGCTGGTTGAGACTGGAGGGAGGGCTCATCAGTTCTCCTACCTACAGGAGTAGGAATAGAGATCAGAGAGGGTGAAGGTTTTCCCTCGGGTCACACAGGGATGGAGTAGAAAAAGGTACTCATAACAATAAAAATAAGGGCCATTTCTCTCCACCTGACACGACAGGAACTATACCCAGGGCTTATAAGCTTTTCAAGGGCCCTAAGGACCTAAAGGGGGAAAGAATTATAGGTTGCAAAATACCAAATGAAAACCATAAAATCAAAAATTCACCGCCATTTAATTAAATGTCTATAAAATGTAACATTCCTCCAACAAGCCACTGGCAACTTGGCTCTGTTGAGCATACGTTACATTTCATGTGGGATGATGGAGGGTGGAGGACAGCCTTGGAAAGCAAGAGGACCCAACCTGTCTTAAAATACCCTGCCCACCCCCTTGGGTTCTATCTTCACCACCTCTCCAGGGGGTGGAAAAGAGCTCCCCATGAACAGAAGCGGAATGGGAGGTAGGAGACAGTGAGGGGGTGATCGTGACAGCCCTGGAAACACTTGCTAAGTGCCTACTGTCCTTGGCTCTCGTGAAGTCCTCATCCCAACCTCCCAAGGCAGGGCTGTCACCCCCATGTCACAGATGAAGAAACTGAGCCTCACTGGGGTGGAGTCTTTCATCCCACGTCGTCACTATTGTAGGAAGAGGCAGAGCTGAGGTTTGGGGACAGGGCTGGCTGTTGTCAGAACCCAGGCCTATCCAGCAGCCTTGCTCCACATCTGGTTAGGGAAGGGAGGAAGGCGAGGCAGGGAGGCGATTGAGCGGACAACAAACAAGCCAGGAGAAGTAGGGACCATCGCTCGAGTTTTGCAGACGAGGAAACTGAGGTGACTCAGGTTTCGGAAGTCATCGGACCCAGGTCACACAGCAAGTAAGTGTCAAGGCTGGATTCTGAGGACCCTGGGGTTCCTGGCAGCCTGGCAGGTGGGAAGAGGGAGTGGAGGGTTGGCAGAGGAGCCCTGAGTTCCCTTTCTTGGGCCTTGACTCCCACAGGCCCCGACCTGCCTCCCCCACCCTCCAGTCCTGGTAGCAGCCCCACCTCTGTGACGCCCCAGTTTCCCCCTCTCCTTGGAATGGAGAAGGGAGGGGCCCCAAAGAGGCCAGGGGCCCACCTGGGTTTGGGCTGTGGGAAGGGAGTGGTAGAGACAGGAGGAGAGACAGAGAGACTGGGAGATGAAATGGAAGACGAGGGGTTTAGAGACAGAGGGAGAGAAAGAAAGTGACAAGTGGAGGGAGGGAGGCAGACAGAGAGACACAAAGAAAGATAAAGAATGAGAGACCCACCAAGGGAGACTGGGAGAGAAAAACAGAGGTAGACAATGACAGAAGGGCACAGGGACAGAAAGAGAAAAATGACACACGTGCCAAATTACAGAAAGGCTGAGAATGAATGACAGAGAGATTCAGAGTGACAGGGCAGGATGTAGGTGAGGAGAAACCGAGAAAAGCAGAGAGAAGAGGAGCTTGAAGAGGTGACAGAGGTAGGCAGGCCACAGCACAGAGGCCCAGGGCCGGTCTTGGGAGGGCCCCCGCGCACACCCCGCCCCCAGGGCGATAAGGCAGGGCTAGGAGGCCCAGTCATCCTGGGCCACCCCTCTCCTGTCTGCCTGCCTGGTGCCTTATGCACAGACCCAGCCTGCCCCAGCCTGCTGCAGCTGCCACCACCACCACCTTGGGCCCCGGGAGCCCCAGCCCCAGAGCCTGTGAGTCTGAGAGGGAAGGGAAGACGCATTGCCCCACCCCCTCCAGGCGCCTGCACTGGCGCGCACCAGGCCACCTGGGCCTCAGCACCATTTCCTCCTCTGGTCTGTCATTCTGGGCTTGGATGAGGGCTCTCTGTCTCTCTCTCTGCCTCTCCACCCAGTTGCCCCCAACCTCAGTGACCTCTGACCCCAGCTCTGTCACTGAGTCCAGCCCTCCACCTCCACACCCGCTGGCCTGGCCCGGGGGCAGCTGAGGGCACTGGCTCTTCCTGAGCCCAGCCTGCCCTGCTGTCGTTCCAAGGGGCAGGGTTTATCAGGATGGGGGCCAGAACACTCACAGTAAGCCCCCTCTGCAACCCGGGCCACCCACAAAGGAGCCATATAACCCTGGGTGGATGCTGAATGGTGCCGGTTCCCTTACTCTGCCCACTCCAAGTTGCTGGGACCTGGCTGGCCAGGTCTTAGGTGGGCAAGAAGAAAAGCATTCTCCAGAATGAACCTGGCCGGTCCCTAGGCTGACTTAAAACAGGGCCAGCCTATTACCTGCCCGGGGCAAAGCCTCTCCCAGCCACTTCCACATCTTCCTTGGATACTGGAAGCTTCTAGCTGAGATCAGGCCCCTCCAAGGCCACCCTTCATACCAAAGACTCATTTTAAGGTTCTGGAGTTTGGGGTGCTATGAGAACAAGAGAATTATTCAAGCCTCGTTGTTTCTCCCTGGGGGCAGTCATGGCAGGCAAGGGAGAGAGGAGAGGGCGCGAACCAGGGCCTGCTCTCCCCATAAAGCCATCTGACCCTTTGTCTTTCCTTGTTCCCAGAAGAACCTGGGGCCTGCCCTCCCCCACTCCAGGCCATGAGGATTCTGCGGTTAATGATGTTTGCTCTGGTGACAGGTATGGTGGGCGATGGGGAAGGGCAGGGGCCTGCCTCCTGAATCTCTCATATTTCCCCAACCCTCTATGTCTGGACATTGACAGGGCTGATATTCAAACTCTAGAATAACCCAGTGGGCATCTAAATGGATATGTGAGCCAGTGAGGTCCTGGAAGCCCCTTGCTGTACAAGGTGTAACCCCTTGAGATGCTAGAATGGGAAGAGGTCAAGGAGGGTCCCGGGGAGGGGCCGGAGCCGCCAGGGTGATGTGGGGTGGACACTCACAGAGCTCAGGACAGTGGCTACTGACCAACCAGTATGAGAGGATTTCAATCATTTCACGCTCATGCCCGGCCCGTCCATACAGTGCATCCCAACGGGACAGCAGGCCAGGACCCAGATACCCCCTCCCCCTCTCTCTCTTCCCTACCCCCATTTCTAGGAGTCCTCTCATGCCTGAGTGCCCTCTTTTGCCCCCACTCCCTCCAGGGCATGTAGGGGGAGAGACCAGGATCATCAAGGGGTTCGAGTGCCCCCCTCATTCCCAGCCCTGGCAAGTGGCTTTGTTCCAGAAGACACGGCTGCTCTGTGGGGCAACCCTCGTCGCCCCCAAATGGCTCCTGACAGCAGCCCACTGCCGCAAGCCGTGGGTGCGGGGGCTGGGGCGGGGCTGGGTGGGGGCTGGAGATGGAGAGATGGACGGAGAGGGGCTTGGGGATGGGGAGAATATGTACAGGGTGAGGAAAGTGGGGTTGGAGATGGGCCTGGGGTGAGGAGTGGCGTTAGCATTGATGGTGGGGGTCCAATTGATACTGAAGATAGGGGGTGGGAGACACTGGAACTGGGATGGTGTTGGGAATAGGTAGGGTTGGAAGGGGCTTCAACGGGAGATGGGGATGAGGCTGGAAGTGGCACTAGGGTCCTTCACTCTCTCAGGTGCACTCATGTCTCCCCCTCCCCTATGCCTCTCGCCCCACCTCCTGTCTCTCTCTACCTTTCCATCTCTGACCACCATCTCTCCCACCTCAGCCGATACGTAGTTCACCTGGGGGAGCACAACCTCCAGCGGCGGGATGGCTATGAGCAGACCCGAATAGCGAGTGAGTCCTTCCCCCACCCAGACTTCAACAACAGCAGCCCCAACAAAGACCACCGAAATGACATCATGCTGGTGAAGATGACGGCGCCAGCTTTCATCACCCGGGCCGTGCGGCCCCTCACCCTCTCATCATGCTGTGTCACTCCTGGCACCCGCTGCCTCATTTCCGGCTGGGGCACCACATCCAGCCCCCAGTGTAAGGGCTCCACAGGGGAACATGGTGGGGGAAGGGTGGTCGTTATTGTGGAAAGACAGAAGAAACCAAAAGACCCTTCAAAGATGAGAGTCATAGTGATACAAGAGGGGGCGACCTGGGGGTGTCAGTGGGATAAGGTGAAAGGAAGAGTGAAAAAGTAAGGACTGGGGAGGGTGGAGACCAGCCTTTGGGGCTCGGAGTCAGACAGACGTGATGTGCAGTCCCAGATCCACAACTGCTAATGGTAGGAACCTAGGCAAGTGGCTTCACCTCTCTCAGACTTGGTTTTCTTCTCTATAAAGCGAGAATAATCACACCCACCTACCAGAGCTGGATTAGAGATGATGAATGTATGGCAATGAAGGATTTACTCAATAGCTATTGTTACGAGCAGAGAGATGAGTTGGCTGCAAGCAAGGACAGGGACTGGATTCAGAGCAAGGTCCCTGGGTTTGGAGAACACAGGTGATGGGTTCAGAACAAGCCCTGAAGTATGGGGAAGTGAGCCAGGAGGCTCTCATTTTCCACACCCATTCCTGCTGTTTCCACAGTGCACCTGCCCCATACCTTGCGATGTGCCAACATCACCATAATCGAACACAAGCAGTGTGAGGACGCCTACCCTGGCAACGTCACAAACACCATGGTGTGTGCCAGTGTTCAGGAAGAGGGCAAGGACTCCTGCCAGGTCAGAGGGCAGGGCCTGGGTCACTAACCACATCCTCATTCGCATCTTCATCTACAGTCACAATCTCATCCCAACCCTAACCCCATAGTCCCCCCCGCAACCCCAAATCCAGTTCCATCCCCATTCCCACCCTTATTTCCCACCCAACCATCCCCAAATCCATTTCCAACCCGAACCCCATCTTCATTCCTACCCATAACTCCAACCCTGTCCTCAATTCCCACCCCACTCCCAACACCATCTTCACCTCCTCCCTACCACCACGCCCAACACGTCCCCCCCCCACACACACACACAGCCTCCCCTCCTCTCTGACTGGTTCTCTCTCTCCCCATCCCCAGGGTGACTCTGGGGGCCCTCTGGTCTGTAATGGGTCTCTTCAAGGCATTATCTCCTGGGGTCAGGATCCATGTGCTGTCACCAGAAAGCCCGGTGTCTACACAAAGGTCTGTAAATTCGTGGACTGGATCCAGGAGACTATGAAGAACAATTAGCCCGGACCAGCTCACCACAGCCCAGCACGCTCATCCTTATTGGATGTGGTTGCTGTTCATTCTATTAATAATTGAGCCTGAGCTATGATTCCTTTATAGACTTTCTTTGGATTTTCTTGACGAGAGAGATGCTGGAGCTTAATAAGTCAACTTGGAATTTGGAATTAGTGAGATCTGGCCGCATGCTAACTTGTGACTCCGGGAGTGATTATTAATAACTATTTAGTTTACTGGTGTATTCCAAGCCCCAAAGACACTTCCTGACACTCGCCAAGGAATAAATGCTCACCAAATAAACTAATGAGTCTTTTGAGTGCTTACTGTGTGCCAGATCCTGGCCCAAGGGCTTTTAAATGTATCAACTAACTTAATCTTCACAAAACCCTATGAGGCCGGTGCTATTATTATGCCCATCTTGCAGATGAGGAAACTGAAGCATAGAGAAAGAAGTCACTTGCTCATGGTCACCAGCCCATAAGTAGAAGAGCAAGGAGTCTGAAGCAGGGTGAGCCATCCTTACCTATAGTCATGCATGCAAAAAAGTATAGTTAGCATGCTAAGTCAGCCTGCCTGCACATAGGGAAGACTTAACAGAAGGGAACGATCATTGTTTTGTTTCCAACCGATGCAGGCCTATACAGTAGCCACTAACCACAGGTGACTGTTTAAATTAAAATTACATAAAATTAGTAACATCATTATTCAGTCGCATGCGAGCGACACAAGTGAAATGCGCTATAGCCATCTGTGGCTGGTGGTTGCCGTGTTGGGTAGCACATATAGAGCATGGCCGTTGTTGCAGAAGTGCGATTGGATAGCGCTGAGCTGGACAGCCTCTGGAATTAACCGGCTTCTTGCTGGAGAAGGTGCCTGGCAAGTAGTCCAGCACTCAGGCTCTTTTCTGACATTCTGCTCCCCTTGCAGGGGAAGTAGCAGGCATGAAGAGTAAGAGCCCAGAGCTGGACCGGGCGGGGGAGGGGGGGGCGCCTCTGGGCTTTTAGGTGGACTTGCTGTGTGACCTCTTATGAGTCACTGCCCTCTCTGAGCCTCCCATTCCTCACCTGAAGTAAGGGAGTTGGCTGAGGTGATGTTCATGCCCCTTGCAGCCTCCTGTGATTCATGGGCCTGCATATCGCCTGGAGACATGCAATGGCAGGGAGGATGTGAAGTGACCACACATTGGAATGACATGAGCACACCACCCCCCCCCCAACACACAAGGGGCTAGCCACTGGGTCACACACTGAGCCCACTGCTCAGGCTGGGGGTAGACTAAAGCACAGAGCACCCCTGTGGGTCTGTGTCTCTGCCTCCTTTGCTCCGTTTCTGTTTCCCCATTTTCCTTTTCCTGTTTGTGTGTGTCACTCTCTGTTGTTCCTACTCTTTCCTTTAATCTATCTTATCTCTCTGCCTTCCTGTCTCCTTGGCAGCCTTTTGGCTTTTCTTATCATATTGTCACTCCAGTTATGCATACCCCTGTTTCTCTCTCTCTCTCTCTCTCTCTCTCTCAGCCTTTTGGCTTTTCTTATCATATTGTCACTCCAGTTATGCATACCCCTGTTTCTCTATCTCTCTCTCTCTCTCCCCCCTCCCTCCTATTTTCAACACCCCCAGGCTCTCTAGAGACAGGTCACCCTCTCCCCATCTGGGAAGACTGCTTGGGACAGGGGGCCTAGGGAAAGCCCCGCGGAATTCAGCACCCAAAAGGGTGTTTCTGGCACTGGGAGAAGCAAGTATTCCTGCGCCCCTCCCAGAGCAGGAATCTGGGGCCCAGGTTGGGTGTCAACCGCACCCACGGTATAATTAGGGAGAGGGAAAGCCCCTGGAGAGAGGGTGGGGAAGTTTCTCATCTCTTCGGGGTTAAAAGGGAAGGCCTGGCCAGGGGTCCATGGGCAGAGGATCCCGGCGGCCCACACGGCAGGGCAGAGGCACTTCTGGGTCTCCTCCTCTTCCCTTCGGCGACTCCCAGGTGAGGCGGGATGCACCTCACTCTAATTGTGGACCCTCGGATCGCCGGCAGAAGCCCTGCTTGAGCCTCGGTTTCCCTACCTGTGAAGGAGGGAGAAACCCCAAGCGCTGAGAAGCTGGCAGCCGGGGCAGCCCCGGCCGGGCGAGCGCTCGTCTAGAGCGCTGGGAGGGCAGGAGGACACAGCCAGGAGCGACATTAGGATAATTGAGCTCATTACCGTAGTTCCGGCAGGAATCGCCCGCCCGCCCCTGCGGTTTTCGGTCACCGCAGGTTAAACGGGTCCCAGCGACCTGGGATGGTCCAGGCTGGGCGGACGGGCACGGCGGGATGACGGTCTCTGACAGGGCATCTGTTTTAACCCGCCCCCCGCCCGCCAGTCTAGGTCCTGGACATGAGACCCTCGCACCTCCACCTCTCCGCCGCCTCTGGTGCCCGGGCCCGGGCGAAGCTGCTGCTGCCGCTGCTGATAGCGCAACTCTGGGGTGAGGCGGGGGACAGGGCTTGGAGGAAGGCGCCGGGACCCGGGGCGATGGGAGAGTGAGCTCTTACCACCGACCCCCGAGCACTGCTCTTGCCCTTGGGACCCCAGCACCCACCTACCGGTCGGAAGCGGGCCTGGCCCCCAAGCTAGTCCCGCCCCCTTTCTAGCTCCGCCCTGGGTGCCCCGCCCCCACTCAGGCCGCGCCCCTCATTCCGCTCCATTCTGTCTCCTCCCTATTTTGTCCTAAGTCTTACGTTATCGCTTTCTGCCTTTGCCCCCTTTTCCAGCCGGTGGCGTTTTTCCCACACCGACTCCTCTCCTACCCCGCGCAGCGTTCTATCCCCGCCCCCTTGTCTCGCGGAGGCGTTCTACCCCTCCTCTCTACGCAAGCTGTCCCTTCTGTCCCTGCCCCTCCAGACCCACCCAACTGGCTGCGTCCCACGCCCCACCTCCTTGCGCTCAGACCCCAAACTCAGCCTTTGCCCCTCCGTGCCTGCTCTGATCTCCCCCTCCTTTCTCCAGCCGCAGAGGCGGTGTTCCCCAGAAACGACACGGATTTGGACCCCGAGGCCTTTAGCGCCCCGTGCGCGCGGGGCTCTCATCCCTGGCAGGTCTCCCTCTTCAATGGCTTTTCGTTCCACTGCGCGGGTGTCTTGGTGGACAAGAGTTGGGTGCTCACGGCCGCGCACTGCGAGAACAAAAAGTAGGGGGAGCTCCTCGGGGTCGCCACGGAGGGCCTGTGAAGGCAGGACCCAGGGAGGGGGCGGAAAGGACTGGGGCACTTGAGGGTATGGAACGCTCCCAGCTCAATATGGGGTCAGTCCTGGAGGGCTTCCTGTAAGAGGAGAGATGGGGCTACGCTGTGACCGCCAGAGGGCGGTATGGTCCTTCTCAGGGTTTCGAGGCCATCTATCATCTCTGTCCAGCTGATTCTTCTTGGGTTCAATTAGATGTAACTAATTGAGTGCAACAGACAGAAGTCAGGGTCTGGTGCAGTTGGGAATTTAGAACTAAAAGAAATTGTTCACCTCATGAGTCCCTACTGAGGTTGGAAGAAAAGGGTAGGCTTACCCCCAGCAGAACTCATAGACCCAAACACCTGATCATTTCTCCCATGTTCCAAGAATTCAGGTCCCCAGCTCTCTTGTCCCCCACTCACTCCTTCAGGAGTCTGGGCCGCAGCCCCTCCTCCCCCAGACCCAGGAGTCCAGTTCCTCAGACCCAGTAGTCCAGGCCCCCAGCCCCTCCTCCCTCAGACCTAGGAGTCCTAGCCCCCTCCTCTGCCAGAAGATAGGTATCTATCCCCAACCCACTACCTGTACCCTCCTTCCCAGGGACTCAGAGTTCAGTCCCAGTCCCTATAAAGACTTTGCCTCCTGATGGTTCTTCCTTCCCCAGGCCGCTGTGGGCTCGAGTTGGGGATGACCACCTGCTGCTCCTCCAGGGTGAGCAGCTCCGCCGGACCTCTCGTGCTATTATTCATCCCAAATACCAGCACGGCTCAGGCCCCATCCTGCCTAGGCGGACAGATGAGCATGACCTCATGCTGCTGAAGCTGGCCAGGCCCGCTGTGCTGGGGCCTCGCATCCAGACCCTGCGCCTGCCCTCCACCTGTGCTCAGCCGGGAGATGAGTGCCAGGTCGCTGGCTGGAGCACCACAGCCTCCCGCAGAGGCAAGAGCTGGGGGCCCTGTATCTCGGGCCAGAAGGACAGGGGGCCTGGGACTTCTGAGTCTGAGGGAGGAGGGGGCTAGAGCCTGGGACCTGAGCTGGGGACAGTCTGGGTATCTGGACTCCTGGGTCCTGGAGGACTGGGGCTGGGTCTCGGAATAACCTGATGTTTTCTCCCATTAGTGAAGTACAACAAGGGCCTCAGCTGCTCCAGGGTCACTATCCTGAGCTCCAAAGAGTGTGATGTGTTCTACCCCGGCGTGATCACCAACAGCATGACGTGTGCAGGACTGGACCAGGGTCAGGACCCCTGCCAGGTAGGGACTGGCCAGGAAGGGTCTCTGATTCGTCGGCACAAGCATAGGGTGATGACAGGAAAGCAAAAGCTCCCACCCTTGTCCCCAACTTCATAACCACCCCAGCCAGACGTCATCCCCGTGTCCAGCATTGTCCCATCCCCTACCCCAATGTCACCCCTGTCAGCAAAAGAACATCCAAACCTACATAAAAAGTTTAGAAGAGTTTATTTGAGCCAAAATTTTGAGGACGTGCCTGGAAGCAAGTTCTCAACAGGCTGAGAAAATGCTCCAGAGAAAGACAGTTTTGTGGTTTATTTTATACATTAAAATCAAAGGAAAGAAGTAAGGAAGTTTCCATGAAATCCTTTGGTGGTAGATTAAGGAGGAGGGAGAAAGCAAAGCAGGGAAATCTCTAGACCTGGATACAAAGTAACATGGAGAGATACACATGATTTACATTGATGATATAGGATAGTTAACATTTTACATTTATGGTAAATGGTACAGAGATGGTATGCAGACTACAAGATAATGAGGAGTTGTGTGGTCTTGTGGACTTGTACTCTGGTGCCGGTGGTTGTACCTCTGAGGGTACAACCTTCAGGGGTCTGGAAAAGATAACGCTCACATTTCAAAGGCACGTTATCCTAGACCAGCGGTTCTCAAACTGTGGGGCGCGACCCCTTTGGGGGTCGAACAACCCTTTCACAGGGGTCGCCTAAGACCATCGGAAAACAAAAAGATATTTACATTACGATTCATAACAGTAGCAAAATTACAGTTACAGAGTAGCAACGAAAATAATTTTATGGCTAGGGGTTACCACAACATGAGGAACTGTATTAAGGAGTCGCGGCATTAGGAAGGTTGAGAACCGCTGGCCTAGACGCATAAGAATGATGGACAGGGTTTGATTAAGGTAAAAATTGACCTTTGCTAAGGGAGCTATAGCCCTGGGGTAAGAATACCTGCGATTACCTACCCAGTTAGGAAGTTGTGATCAGATCATCCTGTGTGGTTACTTTCAGTCTCTCAGCTTGTAGGGCCTGCCATGTAGCCCCCTGAGCTTGTCAGGTTTATTACATAGTCCCTTTCTCATTCACATCCCCATGTCCAACTCTGCCTTCTTGGGTCCATTCCCTCATGCTTCTCCCTGGCCCTACCTCCCTCCCCCCCCCTCCACCCTAGACCTCATTCCTATCCTGGAGCCATTCCTAAGTCTCCACCCCATCCCTATTTCTAGATCCATCGCCATTTCCTTCCCTGGTAGGAACTAGAATCCCATCTCCATCACATGTCCATTCTCATTGCCTGATCCAACACCTATAACCCAAGTCCAACTCCACCCCAGCCCACCCCTCAACTTCATAACTAATTCCAACCCTATCCCAGCCTCATCTTTATCCCACCCCTTTCCTTCCCCATCACTACCTTCAAGTGACAGCCCTCGCATTGGTGTATTTATTCGCTCTCTCCTTCCTCCCACTCCCAGAGTGACTCCGGTGGTCCTCTGGTCTGTGACGAGACCCTTCAAGGCATCCTGTCCTGGGGCATTTACCCCTGTGGCTCTGCTCAGCATCCGGCAGTCTACACGCAGATCTGCAGATACACCTCCTGGATAGAGAAAACCATTCGCTCCAACTGACTCAGAGGTCCTGCGAGTCCTTCTCCACCTGCCATCCCCCGCCCCATTTGAACCTCTGCCGCCCATCCACACCTGCTAACATCTCTCCTCTTTCTTCATCCCCCTGCCCACTGCTGTTCTCTGCCCACAATAAAGCTGGAGTACAGAAAACTGGAGCAAAGTTTTGTTCAAGACAGGCGAGGAAGCTGGTGACCACCCAGTCTCTGAGAGAAGTGATCACCCAATCTGGCTTCCTCTACCACTCCCTGCTGTGTGAACTTAGGCAAGTGAAGTACCCTCGCGGGGCCTCAGATTCCTCACCTGGAAAATGGGAGCAAAGACGTGCCTGCCTTATAGACATGTGAGGACACTACGATGTGTGTGCATAGATCATTATTTCTCAGTAAAGCATTACCACAGTGGGTGGTCAGCTCTTGACTAAATGTTACTTGTTGTCATTATGTGTGAACAGGTCCTGGTAAGAACGTGTGTGACTCTTTGCCCTGGGGAGAAAAGCACAGGGGCAGCCCCCAATTCTACCCCTTACACCATCCCCATCCCCATCCCCATCCCTCATGGGAGGGCTGATGGGAGAATCACATTCTCCACCCTCCTCGTAAGCACCTCTTAACCACTTCCTTTTTCCCTCCCATTGTTTCCCATATCTGGGTCCACCCAACACCAGTTCCTCCTGTCCCTGCAGGAGCTGGACCAGTTGAGTCACCTGGTACCTTCTCTGCCTTTCTGGGGCCACTGGACCTCAAGGGACCTCACCCTGCAGCCACCCCTGCCTCTAAGACCAGAGGAACTCTCCCCACCTCAGTTGCTCAGTTCACGCAAAGTCCTCTGAAATTTCGGGGAAATGTTTTAGTTTGTTTATTAGCTTCATCTTCATCCCCACCAACCAGCAGCTGCTATTCCAGCACCACCAGGGGTCCATTCTCATCTCCCATCCAATGCCCAGAACACAAGTCCAACTCCATCCCACCCCCCATCCCAAACTGGCTTTGAGATTTTGCTCTGAAAATTCAGGAGGAGGGGTTCTTTTCCTCTCCCTGAAACTGTCTCTGTGTAAATATTCCTGTGCTGGGGGCAGGGGGAAGGGGGTTGGTTATACACAGAATTCAGGCACAGCTAAGAAATGGTCTGGCATCTCCACTTCGCCTGGACTTCGGAGTAGTAACATAAGCTGAACATATGCACGACAGAAATTTTCTATCCAGCTCAGATTGTTTTTGCTTCCCCTTTCAAACAACCAATTTATTGAGCATCTATTGTATGACAGGCCTGGTGCTGGGCTGGGAATATAGTTGTGACTGCAATGTCCCTGCCCTCACAGACCACAGAAGACTGGTGCACAGGTCCCTTCCACTGACTCTTCCCCTGTCCCCATTAGCACACTCAGGAAACGTCAATCAGGCATATCAGCAGAGTTAGTTAGGCAATGATCAGAAGTGAAGTAGGTGGGAACTTGAAAACTTGATTCATTTTTAAAGGCAATTCATTCATTTCTTTAGTCATGCCACAAGTGTTTGTTGAACCCTGTCCTACGCCAGGTCCCAGAGATGAATCAGACTGGACCTTACCCTCAAGGAGCTGCTAGTCAAGTCAGGGAGACAGGCAAGCCTTACATTCTTGGCATTCAGGAATTCACTCAAAGGTCACTTCCTCAAGGAGGCCTTCCAGGATTAACCTGGCAAAAGGGGTTTCCACCACCCCCGCAAGTCACCAATCAATTACTTTGTTTATTTCTTTTACAGCACTTGTTATAGCTGAAATGAGCTCGTTCATTTGTTTACTCCATAATGATCTGTCCTCTCCCTCCTCCCACCCAGTTCATGAGGGCAGGGACTCTGATTTATTCACTGTGGTTTTCTAAGCACCTGGCATAGTGCCTGGCACACAAAGCCACTCAACACATTGTTTAATTAACAAATAACACAAATTGATCAATGCTGTAAAAAAAAAAAGAGATACAGGGTGCCCCAAGGAGGGGCCCAGGACTCTTCCCAAAAGAATCAAGAAAGTTTCCTCAGATGAGGGGACATTTGTATGAGGCTTTAAAGGATGCACAGGAGTTCACCAGGTACAGAAGGAAGTGTTTTTCTATCACTTAGTCTGTGACCTTGAGCTAATTACTTGAACACTCTACCTCAGTTTCCTCCTCTGTAAAACAGAAATTGAATAGACTCTTGTGAGATGAAAATGAGATACTATACATGAAATGCTTACCTAACTGTCAGGCACAGAGTAAATAGTCAATAAAAGTAGCTATTGAGATGTTCTTAAAAGCACTTAGTATGCACTTAGCACTTAGTGGATATTTGTTCTTTAGTCTCAAGACCTCCCCTGGAGAGGGAGTAAGATAACTCCAATCATGGGTGATATTTATTATGATGGAGGCAGTGCAGGGCTCTGTAAACCATTATATTTATTCAATGCTTACTATGTGCCAGGCACTGTTGTCAGTGCTTCATATGTGTGAATTCACTTAATCCCCCTATGACCCTGGTTATTATCACTACTCAATAAATGGAGCAACTGAGAAAGGTCCAGTGACCTGCCCTAGGTCACACACCTAGTAATTGCCAGCGTTGAGATTTGGTCTAGTTCCAGAGTCCATGGTCTAAACCACGATACAATTGTGAGGATGCATTCAAAGGAGCCCAGGCCCAGCTTAGTAATCAGGCTTGTGGCAAGTGGAAGAGGTAGTGAGTGCGCAGCGGGGGAAAGATGGACTCTACCTGGAGAAATCAGAGAAGGCTTCCTGAAGGAGGGGGCATTTAAGTTGGGTCTTGAAGGATGAGTAGGAGTTAACCAGGAAAAGAAGGATCTTGAGAAAGATATTCACTCATTTAATTAATGTCTTTGGAAACCTCCCATGAGCCCAGCCTGAACTGGGTGATTTGGGGACATAAATTAGTCAGACCTAGGTTTGGCCCTTCCAGGGCTGCCCACCTGATGAGGAGGGATGGAGAGAGGCAAGGAGGATGGGGTGATGGAAAGGACAACAGAGGGGAGGAAATGGGTGAGGAAAAAAAAAACAAGAAAATGTTCTGAGGACTTTGCCAAGGCCTTGTGGTTTTAAGAGAGAGGGGAAAGTGCTTAGTTTCAGGCAGATGGGGCACCTGGGTCTGCAGTGCTGAGGATGTGAAGTAGGGATTAAGTTATGAGAAGAGTAGGTTAATCCAGTTGGGTCCATATTCCTCTAACATCTTTGTGGTCTCTGCCTCTCTCGGTCTCTCGGTCTGAATCAACCTCTCTCGCGCTCTCTCTCTCTCTCTCTCTCTCTCCCTCCCTCCCCCCACCCATCTCTCTCTCTCCCTTCCTGGATTTTTCTGTGTCTCTGTCACCCTCTCTAATTTCTTTCTTTTTCCCCCACCTCACTCCCATCCTGTCTGCCTACGTGGCTTCTTTCCTCTGAGCCCTGGTTCTTCCTCCCACCTCTTGCGATTTCCGGGAGGTTCTCTTGTGCATGGTCAGTGCCAGCTCACCACAGCTTCAGTCCAGATAAACTTGCTTCTACCCCAGGACCCCACCTTAGCGATCTTCCTCCTCTTACTCTTCCTCCTCCGGGTCATGGAATACCCTGTATCCAGATCCTGCATCCAGAGGTCATGGAGAATGAGGGCTCCCCCTCTCTGGAGACCCCACATCCCAGCCCCCTTTCTCATTTATTCAAGCCTATACCCAGCAGGCAGCTAGCTCATCTTGACAGGGGGTCGGTCCCCCTGCACTGCCTCCCTTCTTAGTGCCTCCAGTCAAAGCCTCAGGGCTTCTCCCTCCCTCTGTGACATTTCTCAACCCGGATTAATCACAGGGTGGCCCCAGGGAGGAGGAAGGAGATGGCATGGCTTACCATAAAGAAGCACAGATGCCAGAGCCAGGCTCCAGGACCCAGGCACCCAGAGGTCATGAAGCTGGGATTCATCTGTGTTGTTCTTTCTCTCCTGGCAGGTGAGGCTCCTGCCATCCATCCGCTGCCCTTCCATCGCCCCGGCCACCCCTCCACATTGCCCTTCGCACCCCCAGACTTCTGTGCCTGCCCTCTGGGCATCTCAGCATCTCTCCCCAGCCCTCCCACCACACTCTTCATTGACCCCTCTGCCTCCCATCTGCCCCCAGGGAACAGCTGGGCATACACCAGAGCCATCGGGGCTCAGGAATGCCACCCTAACTCGCAGCCTTGGCAGGCCGGCCTCTTCTACCACACCCACCTTTTCTGCGGGGCATCCCTCATCAGTGACCGATGGCTGCTCACAGCTGCCCACTGCCACAAGCGGTGAGTGACCACTCTGGGGAGGGGATTGGGGTTAAGAAAAGGGCGAGAGGGGCAAGGGCCTCTGGTAGAGGAGGGAGGGAGATGTAGGCAGGAAGGACCGAGCCTCTATTTCAGTTTCCAAAAGTTCAAAACTCTTAGAATTACAAAGAGTCGACTCTCCTAATTCTAGAGTTTTAAATAATCTGACTCTAAGAATCCAAGATCTAAAATTTACTCTCTTAGAATCCTAGGCTCTGAACCAGAGAAACCTAAAATCGTAGACTTCTAAAATCTTGGATCCAAAAGGTTCTACATTCACCTCAGAGAATTCTAGAATCCATAGATTCAGAAACTACTAGAATCTTAGAAGTGCAGAGCTGTGCTGTCCAATGGAACTATAACCCCAGCCACATATGTAAGTTTAACTATTCTAATAGACATGTCAAAAAGGTAAAAAAGAAATGAGAACAATTTATTTTAATAACAGATTTAACTTGATATACTCACAATAATATTTCAACTTGTAATCAATGTTTAAACATCTATGAATGACATAGTTTACTCTTTTTTTGTGTAAGCCTTCGAAATTAGACATGTATTTTACACATATGACACATTTCAACTTGGACTAGCCACATCTCAAGTGCTTAATAGTTGTACAGGACAGCGCAGTACTAGAATCTGGCTAGGTTCATTGAGTATACATGCTCAGAATCCTGGAATCTTTGATTCACAGTATCTTAGGATACTGTGTTTTGTAGAATTCTAGAATCTTGAACCAGGAAAATTCTAGAAGCTTATATTCACAAATGTCTAGAATCTGGTAGATTTAATATCCCAGAATGCTATCATTCCAAATTCTTAAAGTCTCCAAAGTTTTAATTCAAAGAATTCTAATGTCTTAAACTATTCGAATCCTAGATTCTTAACTTTTCAAAATCATAGATTTATAGAATACTAGAATGGTGGTACTCTAGCCTTATTGTCGCAGAATATTAGAATTTTAGGCTCTTTTAAGTCATAGGTTTAATTCAGATAATTTTAAAATCCTAGAATTTTTTTTATCCAGAGAAATCTTGGATTCATAACATTCTAGAACTCGAGTCTCATAGAATTCTAGGATTGTGGATTCCTAGGGTATTAGAATCCTAGAGTACCAGAATCTTAGATTCTGAACATTCTAATAGAATCCTAGAACCTATCTGATGCAGAAATCCTTTCAACATATGTCTGGAAAGGGGCTGTTCATTCTATTTTGATATTCTTTCCTCCAGGAATGAATCTCAGGTGCTATACATGATGATATGTGGGAATTTCCCATTATGCATTGCTTCACAATGGGGCCTCTTTTAGCTCAGGTCTTTTTTTTTTTTCTTTAAAGATTTTATTGGAGAATTAGGCGGGGGGGAACAGTGTTGGGGAATTGGGGAGGGGGACCAGCCAAGTTGTTGTTCTTCAACCTTCGTTGCGGAGGTCACCAGTTGCCATCTGGCTTCCTGTCAGCAGCTAGTGGCCTCTAAGCTCAAGGTGCTGTTTTCAATCTTAGTTGTGGGTGGGCGTAGCCACCATCCCATGCAGGAGTTGAACCAGCAGCCTTGTTGTTAAGAGCGCATGCTCTACCCACTGAGCCATCCAGGCGGCAGCTCAGCTCAAGGTGCCAAGTTCAGTCTTAGTTGCGGGTGGGCATAGCCCACCATCGAACAGGCAATCTTGGTGTTACACAGCTGAGCCATCCTGACACCTGTTGGCAGCTCAGCGACAGTTCAGCTCAGGCACAGCGTCACTGGCCCATGTGGGAATCGAACCAGCGGCCCTGTTGCTCAGAGCACGGGCTCTTAAGCCAGCTCTTAACCAACTGAGCCACTTGGCTGGCCCCTTAGCTCAGGTCTTTACATCAGGCTAGGAGAACAGTATTCAGGTTTCAGCCAAAGACAAAGAAGGAGAAAAGCAGAGATAGGGAAGTAGAAGAGATTCAGGGGTAGGGTCTAGTTGGGGTTGGGAAGGCTGGTTTCCCAGACACAGAGCCAAGGCAGAGGTGACAGAAAGGCACAGAGATAGAATTAACACCTCATGCTCCTCAAACCCTGAGTTCTCTGGTCTCTAATGTGAGAAATCAGAGGCTGGGGGTTAGGGGTGGACATGTAGACCCCCAAAAGGTCCCCAGCTGTCCAGGACATGGGCCCAAAGCAGAACAAGTGGACTAGAACTGCAGTGAGAGAGCTTGAGGTTAGACCTCAGGAAGAAATATATTGGCAGGTAAGGGATATGACAGACAGGAAAAACCTGAGGCCACAGATAACCCCCAGCTTGGGGAATTTTCCATATCCCATCCACCTCCATTCATACACACTGGAACACACACAGAGCCACTCCCCACAGAAGCTGCCAGACCTGTGGGAGCAGGTGGGGCTGTTGTTGTGTTGTAGGTGGAGCCCCCATGTGCCTACAGGGCTCCAGAGGACCCAGGTCACCACCAAGGCTCCGAGTGGGCAAGTAAGAAGGTGGTTCATTTGGCATGGACTTAGAAAAGGGTGTGAGCCTTTGGGGGAGAGCTACAAAAGCAGAGGCAAAAAGAGCAGAGGCCCAGAGAGGGTGTGTGTTTTGCTTAAAATCACACAGCTCTCTTGGGTCACACATAGATGATGGGGGCCAAAAGAGGATACATGGCTCGTGGAGAGTCATACAGTACCCTGGTGGACATTCAGCTTGACCTATGAGGCCTGTCCCAGCAGGTATCTGTGGGTCCGCCTTGGGGAACACCACCTCTGGAAATGGGAGGGTCCAGAGCAGCTGTTCCGGGTCACAGACTTCTTCCCCCACCCTGGGTTCAACAAAGACCTCAGCGCCCAAGACCACAATGATGACATCATGCTGATCCGCCTGCCCAGGCAGGCATACCTGGGACCTTCTGTGCAGCCCCTCAACCTCAGCCAGACCTGCGTCTCCCCAGGCACCCAGTGCCTCATCTCTGGCTGGGGGGCCGTGTCCAGCCCCAAGGGTACAGCCTTGCCCATGGCATATTCCCTAAGTCTCATGTGGAGGGCCTAAATCCTCCCTCTTTCTCTGTCTCTGCCTTTTCATCTCTATTCTCTCTCTATCTATCCACCCACCTACATATTCCATCAAATCTAAGATGCTATAAATTATAAGATGTGTCACATATCTCACAACCCACTGAGAATGGGGGCAAAAGAAGGTCCCATTGATCCTCGTGTGGCACCATTTACTGGAAGACACTTTCTGATTTCAGGGATGTTAAAATGTGAAAATATATGCATCTTAGAATCGAAATAAGGCCTAGGTCTCTCAGAGTCACAAATCAACCACCTGTCAGCCAAATTTGGCTTCCCACGTTAGTACTGCTTTTCAGAATCGCTTGGGGGAGGGGGGGGGAAAGCCTGAATTTGTAGCTGACAGCATCTAAAACCTGGGAGATTTACCTTAAGTCAAGTTTCTAGATTTGCTTGAAAAACTTGAAGAACTGGCAACACTGGGCTTACATTCCCAAAATAGCCACCATTGTTGGATAGAGTCCGTGGAAGTGGCCCCCTGCAGACAAGACCAGTACAGTTCACCCCATTGGCTGTTGTCTCCCTGCATAGTCCCCTCCAGCCACTTCTATTTACCCATCAAGCCGCTGGATGCATCGGAGTTTGCATCCATACCTTATACATTGGGTTGTCGGAAAAGTCATGAAGTCTATTTTCTGTTTTTCGTTGCAAAAATCCGTCATGACTTTCCCGACAACCCAATACATGGCTATATGTATATCTGTATCCATATCTATCGCTATCTGTTGTATCTCCTTCTAGCTCTACCTAGTATCTCTAAATCTTTATTTCTGTTTCTATCAATAACCATCTCCCTATAAATGTCCCTTTCTCTTTACCTGCTGCCTTCTCACTGGATATCTCAGGACTTCTTTCTCCCTATTTCTTCATGACCTCCTCTGAGAATCTCTTTCCCCTTAAGAGGTCTGTGTCTCCCTCCATGGTCTCATTTTTCTGTGTGAATTAAATATGTATCTCTTCTTGTCTCTTGGCCCTCTGCATCCTGTCTCTCTCTCTCCCCCCTTCTCCCCTTCTTCATATACATCTGTTTCTCTTTCACACTATGATTTTCTCTCTTTGTCACTATCTCTTGTTTCTACCTTGGGAAACCTTATGCTGTGGCTCCATGGATCCTCCTTAAAAAAGTGGGGGGTGCTGCTGTGTGTGATGGGGACAGCCACTGATCTCCTATGACCTCCTTCCTCTACAGTGCAGTACCCACTCACGCTGCAGTGTGCCAACATTAGCATCCTGGATTCTAAACTCTGCCATCGGGCATATCCAGGCCACATCTCCAAAAGCATGCTCTGTGCCGGCCTGTGGGAGGGTGGCCGGGGCTCCTGCCAGGTGAGAGCTACTCTGAGGGGGAGAAAGATGGGTGCTCTGCTGGGATTCTTGGGTCCTGGGAGAGAAGGGACTTGGGGCCCCAGACTTCCTGAACCAAAGCAAGGAAGGAGCTGGGGCACCTGGGTCCTGGGGGAAGATAGGGTGAGGGCCAGGATTCCTGGATCTAAAGGAGGAGGAGCCTAGAAGTCCGGACTGTCAGTCCTGGGAGAAGAGGGTGCTGGGGCCCAGAATTCTAGATCCAGGGGAGACGTGGAGGCTACGAGCTTTTACTCCTGGGTCTCAGGGAGGAGACCTGGAGACCTGGACTTCTGGGTGTTGGGGGAGTTAGAAATGAGGGGTCCCTAGGAGGGAGGAAATGGTCTGTCGTGAATAAACCGGCCTAATAGCTTCTGTTTTCTTCCCGCACACAGGGTGACTCTGGAGGCCCCCTGGTTTGCCACGGGACCCTGGCAGGAGTGGTGTCTGGGGGAGCAGAACCCTGCTCCAGACCTCGGCGCCCCGCTGTCTATACTAGCGTATGCCACTACGTGGACTGGATCAGAAAGACAATGGATAACAACTGAGCCCTCAGCCTTGAAGCCTTCATGCCTTGGACGACCAAGAAAGGAGGGTGGACACGGGAAAGAGGGGAACTGCAGGTCTCCAGCCTCAATGGTCTCCAGCCTTGGCCTTAGCTGTCGTGGAGAAGCCTTTTGGATATTTAGGCTCCACCCTCTTCTGAATGGGGCAGGGAGGCACCTCCACCCAAGTCGCCAGATTTCTATGACGCCACCAAGAACTGGTACCACCTCAGGTGGAACAGCACCCCCTGGTGGTTTTGTCCGGAACTTTGGCCAATGAGACTACCTCTCTGGACTCCGCCCTGTGTGGCCCCGCCCCTCCGCCAGAGATCCCGCCCCCGTGAAGTCCGGGGCGCGATGGCTTCTTCCCCACTGGAATGCAGTGTGGCTCCGCCCCTCATGGCGAGTCCTGGTGTTTGAAACCTGACCGTACCTGTCTGGGGGGGAAGTTGAGGGGAGGGTCTCGCTCTCTTCAGATCCAATGGATGATTTTACAATAAACACGCGGAAGCGTGCCTTCCTTCTGCCTGCTTTGTGGGATGGAGGAAGGGCAACAGGTAGCTAGGAAACCGCCACCGCGTTACAATTTCCCTTGATCCCTTAGTCTGCCCTGCCTGAAGTCTGTCTCCATCAGCCCTATTGCATCAAGCATACTGGGTTCTGCTCGGGCTGGTTCTGTCGCCCCCAGAAAAGGGGGAAACCAGGTCACGGTGCCTCCCAAACCTGCCTTCCCAGATCCCGGACCTCTCAAAGGAGAGAGAACCGGGCCGATCCGCCCTCAGATGTGGGGACCAAGACTGGTCTTTCTTTCATTCAGGGTTACTCTCAGCAGCCTCCTCCAACGTCAGACCCAGGAGTCTAGGATCCCAGCTTCCTCCACTTCTCAACCCAGCAGTCCAGGTCCCCAGCCCCTCCCTCAGACCCAGGAGTCCAGGCCCCATTCCTTCCTCCCTCAGACCTAGATGTCTGGGGCCCCCGTCCTTTGTGTTTCAAACCCAGTAATTACAGCACTGAGCTCCTCTCCCAGGACTCAGGAGCACGCAATTCCAGCCTCTCCTTCCTAAGATTTTCCTTTCAGGCCCTCAGCCCCTCCTCATTCAGACCCTGGGATGCTCTGCCAGCTCGGGAGCGGGAGGAGGCGGAGCAAGAGGCGGGGATTCCTAGTTAAAAGGTTCCAGAATCCCGTACCAAGCCGAAAGCTCAAGGACTGGGGCCTCTTCCTCCGGGTCCACATCAGTCGCTGACCCCGCCCCCGGACTCTGGCCTCGGGGCCCCTCCTACTTCGGGCCTAGGACTCCACCCTCAGACCCCTTCCTCCTTCAAGACCCGGGAATCTGAACCTCTTCTACCTTAAAACTCAGGAGGTATCTGGGACCCTAATTCCCTCCTTGCCGGGAATGGAAGAATCCAGGCCCTCAGCGCCCTCTATCTTCAGACCCAAGAGTCTGGGTCCCAGCCACTTCCTCCTGCAGGACCCTGAAGAACAGCTCAGATGCTCTGCTCCCTTCCCAATCTCAAGATCCCACTAGAATTTCAGGCTCCTCCCTCCTCATCTCTCAGCCCCGCGTTCTCTCTCCCCCAGACCCCACCATGGGACGCTCACCACCTGCCACAATATGGACCTGGGTGTCCCTGCTCTTGCTGTTGAAAACCTGCACAGGTGAGGAGGTGTCATGTGTGAGCCTGTGGGCATGCCATGGTGAATATGTGGGTGCATGTGGTGGGGTACGGGGGTATGTGAAGCGTGGAATCGCTTGTGGGGGCTTCTGTGGACTTGCTTTCCTGAGGGCCAGTGGAGGCATCGCACTCCAGGCAGCAGGTAGGCGTGTGTCAAATTTGCATGAGCACACCAAGGTTGTGGGGCTGCTTGCTGAGAAGCGCAGATACACACAGGAGTGTTAAGGGTGTGTGGACGCAAGCGGGAGCATGTGCAAGTCAGGGTGTGTGTCTCTGTGTGATGACTCATGGACTTCAATGAGTGTCGTGGATATCCATGCGGTGGCAAGTACAAGCCAGGAGCCCCACATGTGAGGGTGTGTGGACACATGCGGAGGCAGGCAGAGAATGCGGGGTGTGTCCTTTGAACCCACAGTGGTTTTCCTGCCACCTTCCCTCCCACACTGCCCCAGGGGTGGGGATCCAACCCTCTCCCTTCAGCTGCAGGACACTGGAGGGCACAGAAGCCCAAGGTGCTGGGGGGCCAAGAGTGCCAGGCCCATTCGCAGCCTTGGCAGACGGCCTTGTTCCAGGGCGTCCAGCTGCTATGCGGGGGTGTCCTCATAGATGACAACTGGGTCCTCACGGCAGCCCACTGTAAAACACTGTGAGTGGATACCTGGGGCAGAGATGGGCTGAGCCTGGGGAAAGAGAGGGCTGGGGCCTCACCTCGGGAAAGAGTAAGCTGGAGACGGGGCCTCTGCGAGAAGACTGAGGGGCCTGGACTCCTGGATCTGAAGGAGGAGGGGTCTGGGGGCCTGGACTCTGGGATATGAAAGGGCTGGGGTTTCTGACTATCCCCCATAATTTCAGGAAGTACACAGTACGCCTCGGAGATCACAGCCTGCAGACAAACGAAGGGACAGAACAAGAAATGGCTGTGGTTCAGTCCATTCCACACCCCTGCTACAACAACAACAGCGATGACCACAACCATGATCTGATGCTCATTCGACTAAGTGATCCTGCATCCCTAAGACCCGAAGTGAAGCCCATCAACCTGACAGATCACTGCCCTGAAGTTGGCCAGACGTGCACCATCTCGGGGTGGGGCACTGTTACTAGTCCCCAAGGTACTGGGAGGGAGAGGAGGAGCTGGTTGGCCCAGTGAACCCCAAGCCATTGGCAAAGCTTTAATCCTAGAAGGAGATAAAGAAGAGAAAGTGACTGTGAGGTTGAGATTCACAAGTGGCCCATGTGAGACACCTTGAAGGCTAGAATATTAATAGAAGTGGTGCAGAAAGAAAGCAAACTAACATATTGTTAAGGAGGGCTCAAAAATATGGATGGGTGAATGAATGGATAAATGAAAGCAACACTCCTTTATGGTGGAGAATGCCATATTATGAAACCTTTTGTTGTACAGGATTTTATGTAGTCTCATTAACAGAGGAGATACACAGGATCTGCAGTGGTCCAAGAAAACAGACTTCTAAGCATCTTCTTCCTTTTGAACCCAAGGTCCCTGACCCCAGCTCCCCTCCTCCCTCAGACCCATGAGTCCAGGCCCTTCTTTCTCCAGGACCCAAGTCTAGGTCCCCAGCTCCCTCCTCATTCTGGACCCAAAACTCTGGACCTCCATGGAGCTCCTCCCTTCAGGACACTGGATTCCAGGTCGCCCCTCGCCCTGCTTCACAGTGAAGACATTGGAGCTCAGCTCAGAGAGGCCATGTGATTCACTAGGAAGCAACAAAACCAGGACTTAGGTCCCTGTCTGTCTGACTCTCGCTTCTAGGGAGTCAGTGGGACGACGTGGAAACCCACCTGCTCATGGATCAGGCAGACCTGTGTAAACCATGGCCCTGTCCCCTTTCTCTGAGCAAGTCCCTCCCCACCTCTCAGCCTCACTTTCCCCGTCTGCAAAATGGGGCTAGCCAACCAATAGATTTGAAAGCTCCATAAGAGCTCAACTTATACTTGTTTTCTTCATTGTGTGTTCTTAATGTTCAGGATAGTGCTCAATAAATACTTGTTGAATGTTGATGTGGATGATGGAATGCATGAAGGTACCCCTCCTTCCCAAAGCTGTTGTGAAGATTAAATGAGACGTGAGCACAGAGCTTCTGGTGCAAGGAGGTGCTGTACCTTATGAGTCCTTATCCTTATGGAGCTGCATTTCAAGTGGGGGAAATAGACAATGAACAAATACGTATCAAATGATATGTAAAGTGCTATCGTGAAATATCATGGAGAGTGAGAGGATAAGGAGTGATAGAGGAGTGGTGTTTTGTTAGAATGGCCAGGGAAGACTTCTAGGAGGAGGTGACATTTGGAAGAAGTAGGATTTAGCTGAGATTGAGAACCTGGTGGTCTGGGGGTGGGAAGATTGGGGAGAGAGAGTCACAGGTGTCACAAGCAGGCACCTCCAGTCCCCTAATCCTTAATTTGAAAATGACTCAGGGCAAGAAACAAAAAGTAGGGGCCAACGTTCCCACTTCAAGTGGAGAAAAGGAAACAGCAGGGGCCATGGGCTTTGTTTAATGTGGTGAGAAATGAGGTGCCCTGCAAAATGTGTCAGGAAACGCAGCTATGGATGCACAGAAGGGAAGTGAGGCCCAGACAGGGGTGGAGGAGAAGGGTTGCTTTCTCTGAGAACTAACAACCGCTGCCCTCTGCAGAGGATTTTCCTGATACTCTCAACTGTGCAGAAGTAGAAATACTTCCCCAGAAGCTGTGTGAGGATGCCTACCCTGGGAAAGTCTCAGAGGATATGATCTGTGCAGGCGACAGCACTGGGGCTGACTCATGCCAGGTGAGTAGCTTCTGAAGCAACCAATCTGAAACCTCTTTCTTCCCTCCTCTTTTACCCCATGTAGAAGCTGGAGGCTTGGCGACGGGGTGACCCCAAAGGGTTAGCACTCAGAGAGGTCACCCCTATCTCTACAGAGGGAGAAGAAGATTCAGAGAAGGCCACACTCTCCCTGCAGGTCACACAGCACAGGGATCAGGAGCATTGAATTGTCAGTCATTTACCCGGGAACCCTTGCCTGCAGGAAGTGGTTTAGTGAGGGAAAGAAGCTAAAAAAGAGACTGAGGTTAGAGGGTATGCAGCCTCCCTGCTCCCTTTCTCACTGTTAGCTCCTGACATTTGTGCTGACTCTGCCACTGACCAGGCAGTCAGCCACTTTTGTTTGGTACCTGACTGGGTTCCCTAGCACAGCTGACTTCTCCTCTGATTGGTTCCTTGGGGAGCAATGCCCTCTTCCCAACTGGCACCACTGACTTCAGTGCTCCCTAATGACTCCTTATCCTCAAATCTTGGGATTCGCCACAGATGTAACACTCTCTTTCCCATTGGCTGCAACTCCAGTCCTCAGGGCTCTCCCTGACTTTCTCCGCTTCATAGATGCCCCAACCCCCTCACCACCTATTGGCCCCTGAAGACAATGCGCCAATGCTTTCTTCCCCATTGGCCAGGAATGTAGTCATTTCCATCAGTGGTCCTGCCATGAAATCTGAAATCCAATCTCTCTGGATGGTTCATAGAAACACTGGTCTCTTCCCACAGAGCCATTGTTGTGCGTGCGTGCGTGCGTGTGTGCGTGCGTGCGTGCGTGTGTGTGTGTGTGTGTGTGTGTGTGTCTGTGTCTGTGTGTCTGTCTATCTGTCTCCACAAGAACCCTACTCCTTTCTCCTGTTTGGTAACTGGATTCAATGATCTCTTCCGGGAGGCCATTAAGGAAGAGACACCCCGGCTCCCGTCTTCTCTCTGGATTGGACCCTTGATGACATTCTCTTCTCTCATTGGTTGGGATTTCCCTCAGACATTCTGTCTGTGTCTCTGTACATGACAGGCCTCACCCCTCTCTCAATATCTCTCTCACCCTAACAAACTGTTGGTCCCAGGGGACAATGGTCTTATTCCTAAGTCTAGAGTGAACCAATCATGGTACAGAACTGGTACTAAATTCTGGGTACAGAAAGGCATCTTAGGTGAAACTCTTCTCCTACTCCTCCCTCCAGGGCGATTCCGGGGGCCCACTGGTGTGTAGTGGCGTTCTCCAGGGTATCACATCCTGGGGATCAAACCCTTGTGGGCAGCCCCAGAGACCTGGCATCTACACCAACCTCTGCCTCTACCTGGACTGGATCAAGAACACCATAGGCAGCAGTCGCTGATTCTAGGATGAGCTCTGGAGCTCCACCCCCCAATAAATTCATTAAAATGGCCTATCTCCTTGCCTGTCTCTGCTCTAGCCCTGCTGGGAGAAGTGGATGGACAGGGTCTGTGCCCTGGAAGGAGACTTGACAGGAAGCCTAGAGAGACCAGACCCCCGTGGCTACTCTGACCATCACCAATGCCTGAAGGGATCCCCGTTTTTCTGGAAGGACTTGGAGGAATAGGAGGTTCATTTCAAGGCAGGGAAGACATGTAAAAAGTTTTCCAACACCCACTGAGCAGTCCTGTGAAAGACACACTTGAAAGGGTCTTTGTTTCCTTTTCCTGAGCAGTAAAATGTTTTTAAAAGCATTGGGGGGAGTTTTGTCTCCCCCACTGTGAAAATTGCGAGATATGCAGAGTAGGGTGTAGGAAATATATGCACAGCTCAGATATGCACTCATGCACACCTTTGACACCACCATCCAGGTGAAAAAGTAGAACATTGACAGCCCCCAAATGTCTGAGAGACAGTTCCGTTTTTCTCAAGAGAAATGTCAACCTTTCTCAGAGCTTAGAGCTGTCAGGAGGTGACTGCTGTGGTAGTAAGAAGTGAGGCATGTCATTGCTGGTGTCCAAATTGAAGTGTGGAGAAAAGACATTTGGGCAGTTTTCATTAGAGCAAAGGTTTAGTGTAAGCTGTCTTGGGAAAGATGTGTGTGGAACAGGTAGTTGTTATAAGGATATAAATAAATTGCAACAAGATAGACACTGGCTCCCCGCTTGGTCTATCTCATATCTCTTCCAGTATGTGCCATGGCTTTCTTGCTACCAACCATCTAACTCGTCTGTTTGACTCTGTAACTCCTTTCTCTACTTCTGCATTTTCAGAGTGTCAACTCCTTCATGCCCTCCTCCATCTCCCTCTCTACTTCACAGTCTTTGAACTTCACCTTCAAGGACCACCACCAACTGCTCCCAGGGTTTCTCAGATTATGTTCTCATGAATAAAATCCAATTGCTTCAGCTCAACTTTCCTCCTTCAGCCACATCATAGGTCACTGAATGGACAATGGTTTGACTGCATTCTGGTCAGGTGACCATCCCAATCCAATCAATGGCTATTTGGAGTCATGTGATCTGAACTATAGCCACCCAGGGCTGAGGATGGGTGGTTTTCCTTGAGGGGTGTGGATGTGTGAAATGCCTTGCATACCTCAGCCTCCCTGATCCTCCATGAAAGTCCTCTAATACCAGAAATCCTGAGGAAGTCTTTCATGCCTGAGGCTAACCTCCTGGTGCCAGGGATGCATTTCTGCTATCCAAAGGTCATCTGGACCTAAAGCATCGTCTCATGATTTTTATGATGAAAAATGTATTATTCTATAAAATAGAATAATATGATGAACCTTCATATATTACCATCCAACTTAAGAATGTACAATGCAAAACCAATTCTTCTTTCACCCTTACTCCCACACACCTCCCTAACACTGGAATAATTTTAAGCAAATCTTGGTCATCATTTTCTTCTTAAATATTTCATTATGTATTTCTGAAACAGGAGTTGGGAAGCCAGGGCTGGTAGACCAAATTCCAAGAGCTAAAAAGAATTTCTAGTATTTGTTTTGATGACAGGGAACACAAACTTAGAACCCTGGGGTGGCCAATTAGCTCAGTTGGTTAGAGTGTGGTGCTGATAACACCAAGGTTGCTGGTTCAATCCCCACATGGGCCACTGTGAGCTGTGCCCTCCTTAAAAAAGAAAGAAAGAAAAAAGAAAACTTAGAACCTTAATTAAGCAAGACATTATTCTCACACACACACACAAAAAGTCATTTTTTTTTTATTAAAAGACCTATATGATAAAAATTTGTACTGTGATTACTAATATATTTTGAGATTTGTCAGTTTAAAATATATGAAAGTTTATTTTCTCTTCTGTTTATTAAGTACCTATATAATTTCCTTGTATTTGTCTCCACGACCTTAAAATATTTACTATTCTGAGATGCAGAAAAAGCATTTGACAAAATCCAGCAGCCATTTATGATAAAAACTCTTAGCAAAGTGGGAATATAGGGATCATATCTCAACATAATAAAGGCCATATATGATAAACCCACAGCTAACATCATACTCAATAGGGAAAATCTAAAACCATTCCCCTTAAGATCAGGAACAAGACAAGGCTGCCCACTTTCTCCACTTTTATTCAACATATTCTGGAAGTTTTGGCCACAGTAATCAGACAAGAAAAAGAAATAAAAGGCATCCAAATTGGCAAGGAGGGGGCTGGCCGAGTAATGTGTTGGTTAAGAGCTGGCTTGGGACGCCAGAGGGCCCCAGTTCGGATCCCACATATGAGGGCCAGTGACACTGCCCTCTACAGCTAAGATGCTGAACAACAGCTCAACCTGGAGCTGGGCTGCCGTGAGTCACTGGCGATGGCTTAGGCTGCAGCCCCTGCTGCAGTGGGTTGCCATGGGCTACCGTGTGTGGCCAGCAGCCAGCGTGAGCGGCCAGCAGCCTCTGTGAGCGGCTGTCCAGGAGCCGGCGACTGATCTGCATCGCCCGGGAAGAGCGTAATGATGGTGCCAACTTGGGCCAGTGAAGCTACGTCCTCTACAACTAGACTGAAGAACAAAACGACAGCAACTTGTCTGTTCCCCTTCCCTCAATTCCCCAATAAAAATCTTTAAAAAAAACAAAAAACAAAAAAAGCATCCTACTGAATGGGAGAAGATATTAGTCAATGATACATCTGATAAAGGGTTAATATCAAGAATTTATATTTAAAAAAAACTCATTCAACTAAACACCAAAAAAAAACACCAAACAACCCAATAAAATAAATGGGCAGAGGACATGAAGAGACATTTCTCTAAAGAGGACATAGAGATGGCAAACATACATATGAAAAAAATGCTCAACCTCACTAATCTTTAGAGAAATGCAAATAAAAACCACAATGAGATACCACCTCACCCTGGTCAGAAACAACAAGCGCTGGTGAGGATGTAGAGAAAAAGGGAACCCTGGTGCACTGTTGGTGGGACTGCAGATTGGTGCAGCCATTATGGAAATCAGTATGGAGATATCTCAAAAAACTAGAAATGGAACTACCGTATGACCCAGCAATTCCACTCTTAGGTATCTATCCAGAGAAATCCAAGACACTAATTCAAAAAGAATTATGTACCATTATGTTTATTGCAGTGCTATTCACAATAGCCAAGACATGGAAACAACCGAAATGCCCATTGGTAGATGACTGGATTAAGAAACTGTGGTACAATTTGTATTGTCTCATCCCTTCCCCTTCTCCTTCATCCCCACCCCCTCCCAACTAACAACCCTCAGTTTTTCCTCTGTGTCTCTTGAGACTATTTCTGTTTATATTTCTCATTTATTCAGTTTTTTAGAATCCACGTATAAGTGAGATCATATGGTATTTGTCTTTCTCTGACTGACTTATTTCACTTAGCATAATGTTCTCTAGTTCCATCCATATTGTT